CATCCTTTGTCCATTTGGTCACATTACGTGCCAATGCATTGATGGATCTCAAAAGGTCAAACCGCGCAATGCGGGCTGCATACAGCAGCTTCATAAGCACACTAGCTGCATGCGGAGCTAGATTCCCTCGGCTCAGTGTCTCACTGTCTTGGCCAGGACGTGAGTTGCCAGTCTCGGAGAGAGCAGGCATCTCTGGATCGAAGGAATGTGCACACCAAGGACACTCAACTTTGCGTTTTCCATCGGAAGGAGCTCGATATGGGCTGCTTTTCGTTTCCTCTGGAAGGCTTGGAGTTGATACCTTTTTCAATTTCGTGTCCTTACCAATGATGTCAAGATACTTTTCCACCGATAACTTTAACAATCCTTCCATGTTATAAGTTATGGTCTTGACTTTCTTACCATTATGCAACTGGGTCTCACCTTGGGATAAAACGCATCCTAAGTAAAGTCCCAGGTCGGTTTCGGGTTCAATGCGCAGAACAGTGCGCAGCATTTCCCAACCTTTGGCCAGATTTTCGGAGGGCCCAGCAAGCTTAAGATCATCCACATAGATTACCAACAGCAATTTGAGCTCATCATGAAAATACATAGAAGGCCATTCCTCTCCAATGGGTTTAAAACCAATTTCTTGAACTTTCTTGTCACAATGTTGTTCCCACATCGTGCCTGAATCGGGATGTCCATACAGGGCTTTGTCGAGTCTTACGACAGGGCGACGAAACTTCCAGTACTGTATCTCAGGAGGCCATGCATCAGTGGGTAACTCCACCCAACACAAAGGTCCCTTCAACTTGGCCTGGATGTATGCCTGAATCGCATCTGCCAGCTTGACGGAGTGTCCAGGAAGACATCCGTAGAAATCGGCCCATCGTGAGGCTTCGAAGGAAGCCGGGGAATTTCCCAAGTCTTGGAAGAATGCTGCCTCCCAATGTTGATTCTTCACCTGGTTGCCTAGTAGAACGCCTCTTCCCTTGAACTTTCGACCAGGATTGTCCTCGGACAACTGGTAATTCTTTTCCACACATATGCCATGGACCCTGGCCATATGTACTTCCTTTTTATTCTTCTTGGCCTCTGCAACAACATCGTCATATTCACGAACCATTGTAAAGTCGAATACCTCTTGATCACGAAGGCCTTTCCACTCCTTGAGCATAGCCTCTTTGGCCTTTGGGTTGGACTCAATTTCAGCTCTGCCCACAGGTCGTGAAACCATTGCGTTGAAGAGCTTACTTCCAAGGCCCCCTGATTGTATCTTGGTTCGGTGACTTTGATTGGATGCAGAAGTACACGGCATAGTTGGGAATGCAATGTATTCATCATCATCAGTGGCTATGTTCTTCACGTCCTTGACACTAACACACTTGCCATTCTTGATCATCGTCGATCCACCTGGCGTAGCCACGGAGAATCTTGAAATCTCACCTGACAATGTGCTCCAAACTTCACCACTCCACGATGCTTTAGGGCCACGTCCTTTCTCGACCTCCGACCACTCATCCCATTCAGTGAGATATTCCTCGTCGTCCGGGACATCAGTAGAAGCATCGGAACATGGACTAGCATCAGCATTCCTCTTCACTTTTCGACAATCAATGTATCGTTTTCCATGGACATCGTCATCATCGACTATGTCGTACAGATCAAGATATGTACTTGTACATGTGATAGGTAAGGTAACTTTGTTCTTCACAATTTCACCAACACCTGCATCGGATTTCTTTGACTTTGAATGAGAGTCATCCTTCTTACTTTCATCACCTCCTTCATCGTCCTTGGACTTCGGCTCGTCCTTGTCTTTCTTTGAATCTTTCTTCTCCTTCTTCATTGCTTTCTTCTTCTTCTCTTCGACCAATCTTTTGGCTTTGTCATCGGCCTCTTTCTTCTCCAACTTCTTCTTCTCGGCTTTGAGGATGGTGTTCCGGTCAGATTGAGAGAGCTTGCGCCATTCTTCAGGAGAATAGGTCCCTTTGGGACGCAATGACGTTTTGAACATTCGTCTACCGTCATCTCCAATCTTGTATGGGTAACCCTTGACATTCAACTTGACCTTCTCACCATCATCATTGAGGTACACCTTCCCATCTCCAGCTTTGCCCGACTTCCAATGATCCGGTTGGGCGTCAATGAGTTCCTGGAGAGTCATCTCTTCTGGATCTTTATCCTTGTCGAAGATGTCCTCTGAGTCATCAAGAGGCTTCTTTGAAACTTTTCCACCACTTGGTCCAGGTCCACCGTCATCTCCGTCATCAAGCTCGTCATCGTCTTCGTCATGGTCATGTTCTTCATCATCTCCATGAGGCACCTTGGAGGGATCGCCATCGAGGATTTCTCTTTCTTTCATTCCTTCCAATGTGGTGTTCACCCTCTCATACTCTTGCTTGCATGGAAATGTCAATGGAGTGACCATCTCGACCTTTTCAGTCAAATGAGGTTTGAGAAGACGGTGTTCAGGTTTGCTAGCATCGTCACCAAGATTCTGATGTACGAATTCACTCAGAGGCCATACTTTGTATTGTCTTGACCAATGCATCCCTGGACCAATGTGATACCCTGCAAACACTCCTGGAATAGAGTCAGGTCCAAACTTGTGAAGTTGTCCTGCTTCTCTGGTCTTCGGAGGCTTGTAGTTCACACGAGCACCATAGGGAATGAGTTTGCCAGCAAATTCAGATCCGTGGAGTTTGCACCAAGCGCTCAATTCATCATCGTTGGGTTCTACGTTGAGTAGATGACATACACAAAGGATTGCTGTTCTCCAGAAACAAGGTGGTAATCCAGCTTCCAAAAGACATGTAGAAGTAGCTGTGAGGATAAATTGGTTGTCCTTTCGGCAATTGAATTGGTTTGAGGTCTCCCAGGCAACGAATGATCAATTGGTATCTTCATCTCATTCATAGCTTCAATGAATTGAGGAGCATGATCAGAGTAGGCCTGTCTGACCTTCTTGGCGCCGATGAATTGCTTCACCGCTCTGACTACATCGTCTTTGGTCATTCTGTCAGATGGATAAGCACCAATGATTCCTGTAAAACAGTCTCTGACAACCAGCACTTCCTTCTCGAGGACCAATACGTCATCATGGACTTTGGATGTGTCCACCGCATCAAAGGTAATGAGGTCGCCAAACTTCTTGAGTTCCCTTTTGTATGCACCACGACGAGTCTTGAAGTGCTTCATCTTTGCACGAATGCATGAGTCGCAATATGGATTCTTGTATCTGTGGGTCAATTTGTGATTCAAGCTATTAGCTTCTCTCTTGAGTGTTCCCCTTTTGGCTACCCTGGATTCACCTTCGACAACATCGATCTCAATGTCACCTTCATCACCTTCAGCGGCGTCTTCAGGAGCACCATGACCATCATCTTCAAAGTCAGTCTCGTCACCAGGAGGCCCGTCAAACGGAGTTCCAGGTTCATATTCGCCGTCTTCAGGTGGTCCTTCCTCTTCTCCAGGAGTTGCCGAATGTTTTTGCCGGTTCATTGCTCTTCTCTTCTTCTTCTTCTTCTTGAGCTTCTTGACGTACCGGGAACAATTGTGGTCCTCAGTCGATGTTTCAAGACCGCTTTCTCCATCGAGATGAACTCTTCGTGAGGGTTGACCAACATCATCTATGTTGTTGAAATCGTTGAATCCAACTTGAGAATGTGTCAATATGTCATGGATCTTCGATGCATGATGGCATTCATGAGGAGTGCATTCGTATGTTCCAAGATCAACATAGGGGATGTTGTCATGGATTGTCAGATCGATGCGTTCTCCATCCTTCGTAATCATGAAAGGCATCTGAGCAGATGGCCATACAAAGGAGTATCCTTCTTCCATGCATCGTTTCCCAAGAGACATCACAGACGGAGTGTCGTCCAGTACATAAGCATGAGATGTCATATCAAAGGTTCCCAGGTCAATCTCCGCTTCCGTTTGAGTAGCAGTTGAACCATTGGCGGTGTGGAACATGATGGGATCACAAGTTCGTTGCTTCAAGTTCATCCTTTCAGCTTTCCTTGCAGAAATCAGGTCGTGTCCGCTGCCAGAATCCAGGATGAATCTTCGATCTTTGGCTTGTACTGGTAATGAAATGCACATCATATTCTTGGACTTCATGAGGGATTTTCCAGCTTCATGTCCAACAAGTTCTTCAACAAAAGTCAAGTCATCACGATCATTGTCCAGTTTGATCAACATGTCGAACTTGGGGCCAATGATGATTCTAACCTCATCAACAAAACGATGGAGTCCACATCTGTCCATGATGATGGCTTTGGCCCGTGCCCGAACCAAACCGAGGGCGTTGTCGGACTTGGACTGATCATCATTCAAATCATCGATCTTCCATAAGACATATTGCTTGTTGGGGTCACGATACATGCGTTTGGGTAATCCCTCCTGGTAGTTCTCAATGACAATCTCGTGCACTTCAGGTTCCAGATCAAATGAGATCCTGCGAGCATCAGAAGACTTCTTTGCGCTGGCTATCCTCGGTGAGGCATAATCCATGGCGTCCTCATTGTCGCTATCAAAGAAGGAATCAATGGTAATGGGAGTGGCTTTCTTCTTTGGTGTCTTCTTGCTGGTCTTCTCAGATGATGCTGAAGGCGATTGGTCTGCATGTAGGAATTTACATTTGTTCCCAAACGTGCAGGTACCCTTCTGCCAATTCCAACATATCTTCTTTTTGGATCCAGCTGAAGATGAGCTCCCTTTACTTTTCCCCCTTGACGAATCTCGACTTCCGCTTCTGCCTTTCTTACCTTTCATCTTGGCATCATAGACCTTCTGAGAATGACTGTAAAGACATTTGTCACCCTTATTGCATCCTCCTTTATTGAAGAAGTAATTGCAGAAAATCTTCTTCTTGTCAATGGGTGAAGACGATCTCCCCTTCCCACCTTTGCCTTTCTTGTTGTTCTTGTCGGCATGAGACTTCGGAGAAGGTGTTGGGAGTACTGATGCGGCTTCACTCTTCGCCTTCGCTTTAGGTCGTTTGGGAGGATCACCTATGCAGCTGCTTCATTCTCCTTCTTGGTCTTAATGGGAGCAGCAGGCTTGTCTGCGTCTTCCAGGGCAGGTGTTGTCTTGTTAGAGGACAATGACAGTTTCACTGCACGTTCTCTATCTTTCAACAGTCGTTCCTGCTTCCCTCGCGCTATGTATCCTTTGATCATATTGGTCAGAAATTCATAAGTCTTTTCAGGATGCCCTTCATCGTAGGTTTTATATCGGCTGATATCGAAAGACATAAGCTTTGAATGTTCAATCTTCCGGAACAATGTGTCACGCAGGGAATTTGCAGAAGGCAGATCATCATGTTTCATGTTGTATATGATGTCAAGCCACTTGTTGTAGAAGGCCTCAAGTTGGTCATCTCCATAGTAGTTGAACATGTACAAATGATGGGCGTTGTAGAGAACCTCAGTGTGGTCAGGCGACTTGAAACTAATCAAGACCATTGCGAACAGTTCTCGTCCCTTGATGAAGTCTCCACTCCTCCCATACATTTGGTTCTTCATGGACATGTCATACTTCACTTGCATGGACTTATCCCCAGCATTGTCAATGACTTTCCTCAAGGCATTGGAGAGCTTGGCATCAATGGATTGGAATCTCACATCGGGTGCTTTGGCCAGAGTCTCCAAGTCAGGTTGATCTGCAAGACACGGAGCTAGCCACGCTTTCCAATCTTCATAGTTTCGATCTCCACTTGCAACACAAACTTCATGAACAACACTTCCCTTCCAGGATGAAAGTTCAGTGGTCTTGGGCCAAGGTTGGAGACTGATCTTTTCGGCTTCCCTTAGAGATACGGATGACTTGGATCTATCCTTCTCAAGGTTCTCCAACTCCTTGACATTGGTGTTGTACTCATTTCTGAGCTTCTCGAAGGCTTCAGCTTCAGCTCGGTATTCCTGCTCTTCATCGTTGGCACGATCTTCAGCTTGAGAGAAATTGTTCTTGTAGTAATCTTTCCGATCTTCCATCTTCTTTAATTCATCTTGAAGATTTCGAACTTCAGCGTTCCTCTCTTGCTTCATCTCGTCCAATTCTGCTTTCAGTTTGGCACACTTCTCTTCACATTCACTCCGAGGCATAGCACTACTGGGGTACCCAAGTAATGTAGCCGGTCTATTCAATGATGAAGAAGAATAAGCCTGGTTTTCCAATTTCAGGGCAGCAATGGTGCTCGACATCTCTTCTACTTCGGCGAAACGTTCACTAGCCAATTGATGCATCTCAGTCAAGTGGCTCTCAGGAATGGAATAGTCAGTCGCACCTTTGATCACGAGTCTTCTATCGTTCAACATCTTGATGGACTTACCTGCATCCCTGTGAGCACGCTCAAGAGAATCTTTTTGGGCTTCAAGTTCAGTATGAAGGCGAGCAATGGCTGTATCCCTGTCATTGATTTCATTGTGTAGATCATCGAACAAGTTACTCGTCACATTCGGATTGTTGCTCATGTGATCGATCCTGTTCAGAGCATCTTGATACTTCTTACCAGTTTCATCGAAATGTTGCTGAAACGTTTTGAGCAGGTTCTCCGTGTCAATGAGTTCAGTTCTGTTCTGCAAGTACAACTTGTCAACTTCAGCCTTGGATTCCTTTAGGTTGTCACGCTCACGTACAGCTTGCATGTACATTTCATGTAATAACCCTCCATGCGGTGACCTGCTCGGCGAGGATCTTCTGGCTTGTTGACAGGAAAGTTCATGATACTGGTTCTTCGATTCAGTAAGTTGTTGTTGCATTCGATCTAGAAGACTTTGTTTCATATGTAGTTCCGAACGTAGTCCCATTATCCTCATGTCCCGCATGCCACTTGATTCAGCTAGAGATTCCTCAGAAACCTTGCTCTCAGAAATCGCTAGTCGAGATTGTAAGTTCTCGTTGTGAATCACCTGCAATCGAAGTTGCGATTCCTCCAAAGCTAAGTGATGTTCACATTCTGCATAACGGTCATGTTCAGATCTTATGTTACTACGGAACTCCTTCATGATCTCGTCCCTCTTCATGTCAGCAGCATCGAGCTCAGTTTCCAGTCGTCTAACATTCATGGCCATGGTGTGCTTCATTGTCTGATTCTGGTTGGCAACTTCGAGCATCTCGATCTGTAAAGCACATGTCTGGTCGTTAGCGTAGCCGACCGCTAGAGCTTCTTGCTTAGCGTTCATCTCTGCGTTTTCTAATTCCAGTCTGAGTTGATTGATTTGAGCATTGGCATCAGCGCCCACATGTACCATAATCGCGTTCGCTTGTCCCATTTGTTCATCGAATTCCGAACGTAGTCGTGAATATCTAAATTCCAAATGAGACGCAGCTTCATTCGACATAGACTGATACCTCTCCAACTCTTCGATCCTGTAGGTTGCACCTTCATCTTCTTGTTGTGCAGCCTGTAACTCGAAGTTCAGCATCTGGAGTTGTTCAGTCATCGACATCATCTCTTGATGAGTGGTGCTTTCCAGGAAATTAAACTGTTGATAGGCATATGCTGTCGTCTCAGTCAATCTTGCCTGAAGTACGGATTCTTCTTCAGTAGCCTTTTCCAGTGATGTCTTGTACTCAGCTAATTCGCTCTGATAGGCAGTGAAGATGTCGCTACCACTTGATGGGGCGTTCACTTGTTGATAAGATCCTGTCCCTGATGGAGTAGCGTCCTGAATCGGTGAAGGCGGATTCGACGACGTAGTCTTTGCCTTAGTCCTTGGAGTCATCGGAGGCGACAATTGTCGTGCAGATGATCTTCTCTTTCCAGGTGTGCTGTCCCTATCTTCAATTGCTTGCATTGTCGAAATTTGTCTCCCTCTAGGAGCAACCAGAGGTCGCCTGGGTAGGCTCGTTCTCAGTTCTGAGGCATCGCTTCCACCAGTGTCGATACTCTGTGAAGAATTTGACTGCGTGCCGGCAGCTGGTGCAACGGCATGTCCAGAGAAAGAAAATGCATTATCGCTGCTATCCTGTTCAGTCATCTGTAAGGCCCGCGGCTACCCGCTCGTAGGCTCCGTAGGAGTCCTACGGCTGATAACCTGTGAATCGGAGGTTCTCTCTCCGATATGTGCTTTTGATTGTTCCAGAAAGTGATTGTTTCCACCAGCGATGACACGGGATTCACAGCTTCGGCATGGCTGACTTTTCTCGTAGAGCTTGCAGTGGTCTTGAGCCAGAAGGGGCATTGAATGCAACCCTTTGGCTCTGGAAGATTAAGGGGTATATACATGGGAACATATGTGATACTGTAGCCTAGCTCCCATTCGCATATATTGGTGTATATTAATGTATATGAATGTATATGAATGTATGTTAATGTATATTAATGTATATCAATGTATATCAATGTATATTAATGTATATTAATGTATATATTGGTGTATATTAATGTATATGAATGTATTGAATGTATATTAATGTATATTAATGTATATTGATGTATATTGATGTATATTAATGTATATTAATATTAATGTCTATTAATGTATATTAATGCGTATTAGGGTATGTTTTAGTACAGTCAAACGACAAACTCATGCCTAATTCATGCCTGGATCAAAACTTGCTAGTAGATCACCATGGAATTGCTGTTTCAAGAAAGTCATGCCTAAGTCATGCCTAAATCTTAAAACACCATGTAATGTGTTTAATGTATATTTAATGTAATTTTACGGTGTTTTTACTGTAATTCTAATGCATATTAGTGTATATTAATGTATATCAATGTGTATTGATGTATGTTGAATGTACATGAACGTATACTATATAGTATATATTACACTGCATATCTGGAATGTATATTGAAGGGTGGAACTCAAATCAAAACTGTTTAGACAAATCGAGTTAGCGCATGACATTTAGAACAGTTTAGAACTACCATCTGGTTATTTAACATAGCCATGAAAAATCACCATTTCTAATAGGTAAACCATCTATTTCTATGGGCCATCTATACCATGGCTATGTTAAATAACCAGAGGGTAAATAGAACTGGAGCACTGGTGTCCAAGTGACTCATGAGCCACAGGCACTACACATCGAGCCGATTTCTGACTATCCTTGCCCGTGTGGATGGTGATGCTGAGCGGGTAAAACATGGGCAGATTTAAACAAGAAAAGTGTGGATTGCGAGGTATTCTAGCAACAACACAAATTGTGTTTTTTGACCAAAAGAAACTGGGGAAACTCACTCAGAACAGTGGGAATTCAACAAACATTTGACACTGACCATCAGATGGTTTAGGAACCGAAGATGTAACCAAGAATCGGTGGAGTGGCCAAAAAGCAGCCTGTTTCCCCATGGTTTTTCCACATCGATGCTTACAGCAGGGGATCTCATCAGTTGCATGGATCAAGTATGTTCAAGTTATATCAAATTATATATGGTCCGTGAGATTAGTGGCTTATATCACCAGTCAGATTAACTGTCATGTGGTAAACTCGAATCGTAGCTCCGTGGCTGGAAATGTAGAGAATCTGGATACAACCATAGCTCCTTAGCTCTAGTAACAACCACTGGATAGTTAATGGCTCATTTTCAGCATGGTCAATCTTTGATAGTCCACAAAAAAAATGTCATCTTTTGCTGGTGATGTTTTTTTTCCATGGCAAAAAACCTAAAGGATTAGTTTCTACCAACTCTCTATCCATCTTTTCCATTTATATCAAAAAAACCTAAAGGATGACTGGTTGGTGGTATACCTACCCCTCTGAAAAACATGAGTTCGTCAGTTGGGGTTATGAAATTCCTTTCTCTGAATGGAAAAATCTTCAATTCCATGGTTCCAGTCACCACCAACCAGATATAGTTCGATCTACCATAAACATCCATAAACCATAGTTAAGCCATTTTTTTCAGGCAACTGTCTACCACTTTCTATCCATCCTCGTTTTTCAAAACGTCATCTTCACCACATCCACAACGGTCCCCGGTCCCCGGTCCCGGGTCTCCTGGACTTGCAGATCGCACAGCACATGACCTTGATCCGAGATCACCTGCACCGGACGAAAAAGGCCACATGAAAACATCCTCACCGGATGGGTTTTTATATGCTGTTACCATCTCCCATAGGATCCATGGTGCTGCTATATATGGTAACATTTACCATCAATATATCCCAAATGTTAGCATATATACCATACATGGATCCTATGGGGTATCTTTTTGGGATGTTCCAAGACAAGATGTTTTCCGGTAATACGTGTCCCAAAAAGTTCTGAGATCCACTGTTGTGATCCCGAGGACCCTATTGACCCTATCCATGAATCATTTAGGATAATCCCAAGTTCGGTACAATCATCGCTACAATGTTGGGCTCCCATTCGATAGCCAAGTTGGGTTATAACATTTTATAACTACAATTTATGGGGAATATACAGTTAGTCGGGGTTATCAAACAAATAAGATAACGTGACTGGGGGCCTACTATGTATCATGTACTATAAATCAATCAATCGCTTCAGCAGGCCACATCGATGCACCTTCAGGCCTTTCCACCAGGTGACATTCTCAGATGAGGAGAGTTCAAACCTGCAGCGAAGACGTTTTTAGAAGCGGGCAATGGAAATTGGCCATGATTCATGAGATAGAAAAGTAAAAATATGTAAAAATCCCATAAAATCGTGAGAACTCACATTCCCAGATGTTCCATGTATGGAATATTTACCTAGAAAACTAGGTGATTTTGTTCGGGCAAATGTAGGTGTGCATATTCCAGCACCATGGAGCATATGGGATTTCTAAAATTACTACAATTTGTTGGCTTACCCGGGATGAGTCTCGGCCAACAAACCCGAGCCCCCCAAAGTCATCGTTGATGCAAAGTTCTGCACCTTCAAAAGTGGAGCGAAATCAAAACTGCTACTGGAACCTTGGTTTTTCGACATGAAACTTAAGGGGCATGGCTTCATATAGCGGGAAATGGACCATCGATGATTTACCAACATAGTGATTTTCCAGTTCAAAAAAACTACGACTTTACCAGAGGGGCTTTCCAGACATCAGATCGTCTTTTTCTGGTGGTATACATACCCCTCTGAATAATATGAGTTCGTCAATTGGGAGTCTGAAATTCCCTTTTCTGAATGGAAAAATCTTCAATTCCATGGTTCCAGTCACCACCAACCAGATATAGTTAGATCTACCATAAACCATAGTTAAGCCATTTTTTTCAGGCAACTGATCGTTTTTTTCGAACGAAAATGCTGGGCCTGGCGAAGCGGGGAACCCTGGGCCAAGGGACTCGCTGGTCTCGGCGGAGGTCATGTTCCACTGAACTAAGCCACCTCGCAGGGACAGAGTTCACCCCGAAAAAAACATGAAAAATCATGATATATCGACATTCTATGACATTCTCACATTTTTGTTTTAATTCGTAAAAATCAAAACACAACTATCGAACTATGGGAAGTTGGTAAGACCGTCTATTCATGTCTATTCCATCATTGAAGGCCGCTGGATCTTTGGCTCAACGAAAATGTCCCAGTTCTGTATCCCGGGATCCCTGGGGTCAACGTTTACATTTCGATGTGGTTTTAACCGATGGGTGTTTCCCTACAAAAAATATTATATCAAAAAATCATGATCATTTTATGATCTATAAATACCAATCACTGAAAAACCATGTCTTTTTTCGAAAAAAAAATACCTTTTCAAGCATCTGACTCTACCCCCCCGAAACTTGCTAATCTTAGATGTCCCCCAAAAAGATACCTGGTTTAAACATTCCCCATTTCAAGATTACAACTTGTAGCCATGGACTCTAGCCAGCAACATCATACCAGTGAGTATTCTCACTGGTTAGTAACCATAGTTAGTTCATACCACTCACTGGTTACTAACCATACCCATATTAGCTCACCATGGTGCTGGAATATGCACACCGACATTTGCCCTTGTCCAAAATCACCCAGTGAATTGTAGGTAAATATTCCAGCACCATGGTGAGCTCATCTGGGAATGGGATAACCCCACGACTCCGGGAGCCGCAGCCGCGCAGCCGCGCAGCCGCGCAGCCGCACCTCCCTTGGAAGAAAAGCTGCCCTGGAAGGGACCCAAGGTCTCCCGGACCAGGGCCACGTCCACTTCACGACCTGCGGGAGCACCAAGGATGCCCGAGGATGTATGAGTGCATACTCTATATATATAGATATAGGTTATTGTAAATTGAGTATTAAGGAATGACATGAGATAAGAATCACACAAGATAATATATTTATATATAATATATAATTATAAATATGTACATGTGACATGTGTATAGGAACTGAACTTGGCATGGGAGTGGTAGGTATATGAAAATGTCCCATCAATCCCATTTAGTATCATGATATGAACCATCATTTACCTGCAAAAATCTGCAATTTATAGGGACCAGCGAGACTCCTCAATCAACAAAGCTGTGGGAACAGGACAAGTGTGTGAAACATATATTGACCCTGGGTCCAGTATCGTCAAGTCCTTCACTACGCAAGAACAGGGGAACAGGTCGACCCAGGAAAGTGCTGTGTCACAAATTGTGACTTGGAAGGTCTTAGATTTGGGGAATGTCGACCCTAGACTAAAAACTCCAGTAGTATTACGTCAATTTACAGGTCCCCCCCTCCCAAACAACTATGAATACAACAAATATTAGATATAATCTTGATGCAACTATCAATATATTATTGTACCACTAATATTTATCTATTATTCCATCAAATGTATAAATATCTATAGTAGTCGCACTTGGTACACTGGATAATCAGCTCCTTTTAAAATGCCCACACCACGACCCGGCCCGCACCTGGATCTGCCAGAACCTGCGATGCGAAAACCCGAATCAGCCGTCAGAGACCCGGCTGATTAAACGGATTTCCCCCGTGAACCTCAGTAGATTTCAACGATGTCCCCCTACAAAAAATGTTAATATGGTATATATATATATATATTATTATATATATAATCATTTATGTATTTATATATGAATATAATTATATATTATGTGACTTCCCATCCAGCTTGTTTGATTACCAGAGGGTATCCTCTCTGTTTCACTCCAGGCCTGCACTTCATTTTGATGCCGGATGCCGGTGCCATTGAGCACATTGAACTGGACGCCCCGGGGATAATTCATCTTCCTTGGACCGTTCCATGACTCCGAAAAATCCGCGATGGAGAATCGGATCACCATTATCGGATCATCATTATTTGTATTATATTTATAATAACTATTGGAATATATTATAATTGGATTATATAACTATTATCATAACTATTGGATTATATTTATAATAACTATTGGAATGATGATCGGTTGGGCCATAATACATCTCAACTGGCCCAACTGATGCACTGTCAAACCAATCAGATTGTCAAAGCCAGATTAGCTCACCATGGTGCTGGAATATCTATTTACCCAATTTTTATGGCCCAGTTTTGTAGGTTTTTATATTCCAGCACCATGGTTACCATGCTTCGCATATGGGAAAGCGCCAAGTTTTTGGTCACCCCCAGCCTTTGGGATTCTCCCCATGTCAAAAACCATCCCGCGAACCCACCATTTGCCGGTCAACTGGCAGTCAAAATGGACTGATTGCTGGGATGAATCCCAAATTTCCCAAAGCATCCCCAAAAGCTTTTCCCACTAAGCCACCCAATCTATATCAGATTTCCAATTAAGGTATCCTTTTGATGTTTTGAATAAGATCGGGGATGGTTTGAACCGATGACTTTTTGAGCAAAAAAAAATCAGCTGTGATCCAACAATCCAAGCGATCCAAGCGTCTCGTTCAAAAAGATTTTGGTGGCGCCCTTGGTGATCTCAGTGGTGACCTCAGTGTTGGTGATTTTTATGGTCGCGACTTGTCGACAAGTTGAAGATATGTTAAAGTTCGAATCTGCGTCGCCAGAAAGATAAAGTACTTAAATAGGATGTGAAATAGAGGTCATTCATTCAGAAGATCCATAGATCACAGCTTCACGTTTTCGTATGCAAAACATATTCAAACATGTACAGTACCCAGCGAACTCAAAAAGTATATGCCACATTTGCAGGAAACCAATCTCAAATGGCTCTACTTTGGATGCTACCGCATCCAGTGTGGTGCACATGCAGCCACGAAATGCTTCACATCTGCAAAACGACCCGGATTTTTCGTCTCTGGCAAGCTACCATCATTTACCTACCAGAAATACTGTGGATGGAAGAAATCCTGCACCAGTTGATAGGTGGTTTATCCCACTATTTATAAGGTTTCAACCATCCAAGGTGGTGCAGGATTTCATCCACCCAGCGTATGTTTAGAACTGGGGATTTCCAGCCATACCGGGTAGATGATTTCCCGCCACCTTTCCAGCCAAGTTCTCCACGTATTGAAGGCGGAAAGCCCCCGTCTCCGCGTCGTATCGCATGGTGGATGGAGAGCCAGCAATGAATTGCGCCTGGCAAGGCAGCAATCATTGAGAATGTCTCCATATCAGCTTTATCTGACAATTTTTAGAAAACCCATCCAATCATCCAATCGAATCCAATCCTGACTTGGTATGATGTATGATATATATATATATACATAGATAGATATAGATATAGATATATATATATAGATATATATAGATATATATATAGATATATATATATATAGATACCAGGTTACCATGACTACATATGACTACTATGTCTCTGTCTATCCCAGTTGCTTCATTATGACTGGTTATGGAGATCCCAGCAAGCCCAGGGGTGTTCAGGTCATATCTTTTCGGCATCCAGAAACGCTCGATACGTAAACTAAGATATCGATACAGAAAATGGATATGGATGAACATCTTACCCATATTAATTGTGTATTTATAGATATTCATCGTGTATTTACCATGGATTTACCTATTCAACTTTGGTGATTCTCCAGTTCGCAATGTAAACGTTTACCAGAGGCTACACTTCTGATGGCGTTTCTGTGTTTCAGTGGTTTGATCGATGAAATCGCCAGCCAGGGGCCGGTGAAAAAAAACGGTGGCTCAAAATGACAATCAATACCCTCTGGTAATTTAACGTAGCTATTGAAAATGGCCATTTATAGTGGATTTTCCCATTGAAAATGGTGATTTTTCATAGCTATGTTAAATTACCAGAGGGTACTTCAACAAAATGGTGAATACTTCAAAAAACATGGATAAATTGAAAAAACATGGCTAGGTCATTGAATGGTTCAATACTTCAAAAAACAAATAAACGGATTGGACTAGATCAACAAGTGGGATTTAAGAAGAATTTCATCTGGTTGGTGGTTGAGCCCTACACCTCTGAAAATGATGGAGTCAGTTGGGATTATGACATTCCCAACTGAATGGAAAAATGTTCAATTCATGTTACAAAGCACCAACCAGAATGGTTCAACACTTCAAATGAGCCATTGAGCCATGTCCATATGTCCAACAAGTTCAGCGTACCAACAAAAACATGGAATGTAATGTTGGGACATGACCAAGACAAGATGAAATGATAGGTTGAATATCACCAGCAAGTCTGGAAAAAGGACTACACTCTGGTACAAAAAAAAACATGGCTGGAAAATATCCCATGGTTTTATATGGTTTTCCCATGAAAACATCCATTTTGGATCCCCTCGCATGCCATTTATGTGCTGATCATGGGGAGATTCCCGTCACACTGTCCCAACCGTTTCCTATCCGTTTCCCTCGTTTCCTTTGCTGCAAATGTCTGTCTTTTGTTTTCAAATAATTCACTAATCTGAAACCTTTGGCTATTTGTTTAAATAATTCACTTATCTGAAACCTTTGGCTATTTGTTTAAATAATTCACTGACCTGAAACCTTTGGCTATTTTTTCAAAATAATTCACTAATCTGAAATCTTTGGCTATTTTTGTTTAACTAATTTACTAATCTGAAACCTTTGGCTATATCTTCTAAATAATTCACTTATCTGAAACCTTTGGCTATGTGTTTAAATAATTTACTTATCTGAAACCTTTGGCTATTTGTTTAAATAATTCACTGACCTGAAACCTTTGGCTATTTTTTCAAAATAATTCACTAATCTGAAATCTTTGGCTATTTTTCTAACTAATTTACTAATCTGAAACCTTTGGCTATATCTTCTAAATAATTCACTGACCTGAAACCTTTGGCTATTTTTAAAAATAATTCACTAATCTGAAACCTGTGGCTATTTGTTTAAATAATTCACTTATCTGAAACCTTTGGCTATTTTTTAAATAAGTCACTAATCTGAAACCTTTGGCTATTTGTTTAAATAATTCACTAATCTGAAACCTTTGGCTATTTGTTTCAAATAAGTCACTGACCTGAAACCTTTGGCTATTTTTCAAATAATTCACTGACCTGAAACCTTTGGCTATTTTTTCAAAATAATTCACTAATCTGAAACCTTTGGCTATTTTTTAAATAAGTCACTAATCTGAAACCTTTGGCTATATCTTCTAAATAATTCACTTATCTGAAACCTTTGGCTATTTGTTTCAAATAAGTCACTAATCTGAAACCTTTGGCTATTTGTTTAAATAATTTACTGACCTGAAACCTTTGGCTATTTTTTCAAAATAATTCACTAATCTGAAATCTTTGGCTATTTTTTTAACTAATTTACTAATCTGAAACCTTTGGCTATATCTTCTAAATAATTCACTTATCTGAAACCTTTGGCTATTTGTTTAAATAATTCACTTATCTGAAACCTTTGGCTATTTTGCATTGATTGAAGATATGTCAGATAGAATGCCAGAAGATTTGCCAGTAACAAAATATATAAATGTCATGGTGGGGATCACACGAAGTAAAGGAATTTGCATTGTTTTGCGATGATTCCCCAATGATCATCATTCCAGGCTTCGGGAGAACAGGCTTCGGTCGTTACTCAATTTACCGAGAAAAATGTGGTATATCCAGTAGCAACTGATATCTATAATTTTACTATGTGTGGGTTACTACTCGACCATATCCAGCCATGATGGCTAATTATTACCTTTTCCCTTCCCACACTATCTGCTGAATCCGCATGTGTTACGGGTCCTTATAAACAAACATATGGTATATAAATATCTAGTATATATTTATGATATAATATATAACATATCATAGACATGTAAATATAGTAATACATACTGGTGCACAATAGATAGATTCTAACACATATATCGATCATATTAATCAATATGTTATACAGTACATATAATATGTATATAATATGTGTGTATATATATATATTATACTGACTGCTATGTATTATATCTATCTACCACCCCCAAAAACCATCAAAAAGCCGCATCTGCCAAGCAGCATAGGTCCGTGACAACGCCTTTACCTTGCTTTCTTGCAGGGATCCATCGAGGTTGTAGAAACCTTCCTCCGGTCCCGCGACGGTGGTAATGTCCTGGCGACCCTGGAAGGTGCCTGGATTTTGGCCTTGAAAAAGCTGGAAAAAGATGGGCCAATGGATGTTCATCCCCAAAAAACCTGGTATCACGGTATCATTTCCAGCTCCATGGAAGATTTACCATCTTCAAAATATCTCAGTGTTGCAGGTAAATGTACCATTTATCTAGCAAATGGGATTTAAGGAAGTTTACAATATCGTGTCGGATTCGTTACATGTTTGCGACCAATCCCCATGTGAAATTCATGATATTTTCATGTCAAGAACTGACCAAAAACGATCAATATCCTGCTATTGACACAGAAAAAAATACACAGCGTGATGATCCTGCTAATCATCCTCAAAAATAAAGATGGTCAGGTTTGATCCAACATCAACCCATTGGTGAAACGACTTATTAATGTTTATTAATGTGTGTTAAGTGTTTAATAAATCTTAACAAGTGACAAACATGTTTGTTCATGTGTGTTAATATTTATGTGTTATTCATGTTTAAACAAAATGTGTTATTAATGATTATTAATGTTTATTAAATGTTTATGAATGTGACATATTAATACACATCCCATTGGTTAAAAACATCAAGGATCAGCCCGTAGAACTTCGGAAAAAAGCGGTCATGACTGTACTTGAACTGCCAGTAGGCCCAGGAGTGGAGAGCGCGATCGGCCCGATCCTCGAAAAAACGAAAAACATCGAACCGCGGATCCGGCATGTCCCTTTTTCACGAAGTGGCGGTATTATTTTAGCTTATCTTTCAGCATAAACTGCCGATGTTTTCTGAAATTTTCTCAAGTAACATGTTTGAAACTGAAGATGTTCGTTTCAAATCATATACGATGATTCACTGATTCCACCGATGTTTTTCAGCCTCGATTCACCCAGTGTGGGGAAACCCAGGCCATCAAAACCAGCCACTCTGATTGATTGGTAAAATATGGTAAAATCGCAACAAAAGCAGGAAAGTCCATGAACATCAGAAATCTTTGGTTAGCTGATTTTCCATCATCTCCCATTCAAATTGCAATAAATATATCGATGATCATAGCAAGGATCAAAATCCGGGTACTCTGGGGTTCACCCCGAAATAGATGAAATAGTTGGTAGATGTTCATACCCCCAAATCTCTCCAAATCTGATATCATACTTTTTTACCATATGTTCTGAACCTCTTAGCATGAAAAACCACTCAAGGTTTGCTTCACCGGCCATGTGACTGTGATGCGTTTGATCTCGGAGAGGCAAATGGGAGTCCCTGAGCACGCGCCAAACTCCTGCGAAAGACATTGGCGGAACGTTTGGGCGTGAGCACCTGGCGAAGTTCACCAAAAATGGATACAAGTTCGGGATTTTTCATAGCAACCCCCAAAAAGATACAATAGGACAGGACAATCCTACGAAAATAGTGATGAACAATGAATTATTGTTCTATACTTTTCTATCTTTGTGGGGTTACTACAGTGAAGGCCTTTAGTCACATCAACTTTTTTGGGGCAACATGATTCCTAAGAAGGGAAGTCGATGCGACCCCCTCACATCATGGTCACATCAACCATGCCAAATGGCCTGGGATAAGGCTGTATTTTCATGGTTCAAAAAAACGAAATTTTAGATAATGATAGTGGGTTTACCAATGGCACTTGGTGTTTAACCGCCCAACATGTCGGAGAATATCTCGAAGACTATGTTCCTGTATCAGTTGGGGATGTAAAACGCAGTGGGTGAAAGGTGAGAAACCGAGTGACACAACCATTTGTCCTGAGTTGTTTGGAAGAAATCACAATGGTTTATCTGGTTGGTGGTATACCTACCACCCTGAAAAATATGAATGAGTCAGTTGGGATTATGACATTCCCAATATATGGAAAAATAAAATTCATGTTCCAAACCACCAACCAGTTTATAATCAGATTTCCCACATCAGTTTGATTTGTTCCATGACTTGTTGATATGTGTTATCCCTACCGGCGTTCCAAACATCAAGCGAACATCAAGCGGCTCCGTCATGAAAGCACCACCACCCAAGCGCCGTGCGTCGGCCTCTCTCGTCGCCTTACGCCAATCCATGTTTTGACCATGGCACATGTGATGATGGGGAATGTAGTGTGCGTGTGTGTGTGTACTACGTCAATTAACATACATATTGTATACAATATGAATATGTGTACATATAATGTAATGCAATGCAATGCAATGTAATGCAATGCAATGCAAATGTTATATATATATATGTATATGTGTATATATATATGTATGACTGATGTATGACTGTAGTCATCAACCAAATTTGTTTTTTGAATTGTTAAATTGGGCGGTTGGTTTTAACCAATAGGGGCCCCAGTAAGCCGATGGCTAATGTTCATGGTGGATGTAGATTGTCAGGGGCGAGCCTTGGTGGTTGAGCCACCCCCGAAAATATCACGCAATGAAGATCATCATCCCATTCTGAGGCATTTTTTGGGGATCCCATATGCTCTATGTATGGAAGTATGGAATATGTACCAAAATTTACCTTAAAAATATCCCAGTGCAGATAAACATGCCATACTCAAGTTCAACGGAGCCCAGCCAAGTGTCGACAGCAGATGAGGCCATTTCATCACAAATGGGACAGTCTTCGGAGGGAAGGTCGCCCTTCCTAGGGGTCATTTTGGAAAACCGCAAGATTTTCCTGGTTCGTAACTGGCTAAACCACAAAAGAAATGAAAACAATGATATATAATCCATTTAGGAACTGGTTAACTAACTCCATGACCCATCTAAGTACTGTGGCAGACTGTCTGAAAATAGGGCAGATATACCTCGAAATCCACTGGTGAATGACGTTTTCTCTATCTTATTAGATGGTAAACAGACAAAAACAAAAGGAGAGTAGATCTGACATTTTCAGACACACGCATATGCAAGGAAACTTGGACAGCTACTGCTTGCAATTTAGCCGTGGATTCAAATTCAGGTTCCGTCATCTCAGATGGATGGTGGCTTCAACCATCCCAGAAGCGTTTCGCTTTTTCACTTTGAACCCCCGATCTTCCCACAAACAACAATTTGTCATGACAGAAATCCAATCAGAACCACCAACCCCAGTCTTCCTCTAATTGATTTTTTAAAAAAATCAGCTTCTGTTGCCGGGTTGGTAAAACCCCTAGGGTTTGCAAGTAAAAAAAAAGTCCTCAGATGTTTGCATCACTTACCCTCCGGTAAACATACAAAAAACTATGGAAAATCACCATTTTCTAGCTGGGTAAATCCACTATTTCAATGGCTATGTTCAACAACTATGTTTTACATAACCAGAGGGTAAGCACCAGCTAATACCACTTGGAGCACCATCATATAAATCCGATACCTTTCACCAGGGGATAGATGTCACATCATTTCACCCTTTTTTTTAGAGCCGCTTCTATGATATAATTACACATACAATCATGTACATACAATTAATATACATATACAGACAAACATATACATGTACATAAATCTAACCCTCCAATCATAGACATATACAATCATATACATGATTACATAATATTACATATCTAACCCGCGTCCTCAAAGATAGCACTTGCAAAACTCTCTCCCCGATTTTCAAGGATCCCGAAGCCTCCATGCTTCGGCCATCCTAATTGTTCGTCCATGGCTCCGGTTGCACTTGTTTGTCGCAAAGCCGCAAGAGTAGATATGGTAGGACAAGGCCTTGCTGGGAAACTTGAACCATTGAACCTCCACCGGTGTTTTTGTGGTGTAAAACCACCAAAAATGGCGGGGGGGGTTCTAAAAAAAATGGGCACCTTAAAACCCATGGCTTTTAATACTAAGTCATGGTCATCCATGACGACTGGATGACTTAAAAAGCCTCCAAATATGAGGGCTCCACATGTTTCCCCTGAAACACCGACGCTGGACCCTGCTGGTTGCAGTTGTTAACAGCTTCCCAGTTGGCGGATCCTTCTGAGTAGTTGCAGTTGGTCACAACCCAGGGAAGACCTCAAAACGTGGTGAATCGAATCTTAGATCCTCCCAAAAAAAAAGTAATGTTTGGCTGGTTAGTGCATTTTACCATTGATAGCAAACGATTAAAGTACCAAAGTATCTAACCAAGGTTGACCCAGTTTACTACGAAAAGGATAACCAAGATCTATGCTTTATTGCCCCTCCAATTTTGACCTACCCTCTGGAAATCAAACATGGCTGGAGAATCCTCTATAAATGAAGGTTGATAGCTGGTACAATGATCTATCTATCTATCTATCTATCTATCTACCTACCTACCTACCTGTCTGTCTGTCTGTCTGTCTGTCTGTCTGTCTGTCTAATCTATCTATCTAATCTAATCTAATCTAATCTAATCTAATCTAATCTAATCTAATCTATCTATCTATAATATATATATATATACCATTTTTAGGGGAATGAACATCCATAAATCCCAGTGATTGTGATGTGGTTCACCAGGGGATTTTCAGGGGGTCACCAGGGACCCATCGAATCGTCGCCTGCGTGCTGTTGCTGCTGGGCCCACGAGTGAAGCCAACAGGGCGTACTCCGCCGGCCAAAGGCAGATAGGCTGGCAGTGTGTCCTGGGCGTGACTTCAAGTGGAAAAGACGTGTTAAAGTGGATCCTGGACGTGAAAAGTGGAGATTGAAGTGGAGATATCCCGAGATATCGAGCCTCCATTGGTATATGTTTAACCACATGGAGGGATATTTTCATGGGATATCTCCACTATATCCATTGGTATTTAACCAAATTGGTATATGTTTAGTATAACCACATCTTTTTGGATGGGATATTTTCATGGGATATCGTGAAAATAGCTATGAAAACCCCCCTCGCAGGGCGATCAACTTATCAAATCGAAGTGAGAATTCTTTAGGGATACCCAAGGAAAAGAACTAACTTCTTCGGATACCCTTTGGTAAACCAACATAACTATGGAAAATCACAATTTTTAATGGGTAAATCAGCTATAAATGGCCATTTTCAATAGCCATGTTTGTTTACCAGAGGGTACATACCCTCCAGTAAATTCACATAGACCTTGGAAATTGCCATTTTTCTGAGTGGAAAGTAATGTTCAAAACGCCTGTTTCTGCAGGGTCTATGTGAATTTGGCTGATGGTATACTCGTTTGAACTGATGAACTTATGATACCCTTTAGTCATCCGTGGCTTCCCGGAAAATCCTCCATTTATAAATCCTCCATTTACTTCAATGATTTGGAGAATGTTGGAGATTTCTCCAAAAAATCCCAGTGGGAAAATGATTCACCAGGGTGAGGCTTGGCCGGTGGCCGGTGGTGAGTTCACAATGGCACAACAAAAAGATCAAAGAAACTATGAATATTTATCTGTGAAGAAAGACTGGATATTGATATATAACATGTTTAACATGTTGTCTTCAATTAAAAAATGCTTTGCTCTTATATTTATATATATATCATTATCGATCTGTCTATATCTTACAACTGGATCAATTAATTCCGCCACGGAGCTGGCACGGGCACCGGCTCGTACATCAGGATGGCTCCTGGGTCCTCCGCATGAATCACTTGGCCAACGCTGGCCTCGGTCTGAGCTTCATCTTTGGGTTTTTACTGAGGACGAAAATGGTCGATTTACGGGATTTACCCTCTGGTAAACTAACATAAGTATGGAAAATCACCATGTTTAATGGGAAAACCATCTATAAATGGGCCATTTTCCATGGCTATGTTAAATAACCAGAGGGTAATGCAAATATCATGAACATGTAACGAATGGAAACATAATGGCATAGCAATTTTTCATCAACCAAAATGATGATTTAACCTAACAAAGTTCTTGGATTTAATGGGAATATATAACGACGTATACAAGGGTATATAAGGGGTACATAGTGGTGGCCCCACTATGTACTAAAGATATCCCAAGATATCAAACCGTATAATAAATTATAATAAAACCATGCACACCTTGGCTCGACACATGCTCGGTTCTCCATTTGGACCAAATTCCATGATGATATTCAATGGTTTTTTCTTCCATAATAGTCCAGGAAACCAAAAACACCGTTCACCTCCCCAATTTCAAATGTGGGGGTCTGATTTCCATGCTATTACCCTCTCTAACCATTAATACTACTCATTTCTACCCATCTCTACTTATTCCTCTGCTCAAAACCATTAATGCTTAAATCATACCTGTTCTATTCCTGCCGTTTCCGATCCTTCCCCATAAGCGTCATACTGATTCCTATTCATCAAAAGTAACCGTTCACCGTCCCTCCCTTCCAAACTCTGGGTCACGCTGAGGGGTACTGGTGATTAGTTAAGCCCCGTTCGTTGTCGATTAACATATATGTGCAAATATCCTACATATAGTTCAGAAAAAAAAAAAAAACAATTTACCACTAATTTTGACCAAAGGAAGCTACTTCTATCTATCTTTAGGGGGTGATATATACATATATATAATCCGACTACTATATCATATCCTCACTATTATCACCACTATGGTTGGTTTTTTCCTCAAAACGGCCGCTCACCAGTCACCATCCATCCCAACTACATATTAAGCTTAAGATAAAAGATAAAACAAGTTTCAATTTACTTCAATAATAATAACTGGTTGGTGGTATACCTACCCCTCTGAAAAATATGAGTTCGTCAGTTGGGATGATAATAATAATAATAATGTACTTCAATAATCTTCAATCATGTTCAATCTTGTTGCTATACAAAAATAACCATCGAGCTATACCCATGGATACCCATGGATCGTCGACCTCGTCGGAACCGTTCCCCCACTGAGTCTCCGTACATAAAGCGGTTGCAGCAAAGTTCGATCTGCCAGACCTGGTTTTAAGAGATCCACCTCATGGAAATAGTCACCGTTCAAGGGCTCCTGCACTGCTGGCTGCGTCCCGTGGTTGAAAAACCAAGTTGCGAGGGACAAAAACCCCTAAGTGGGATTTTGAAGTGATAAAAAACCAAGCAACACGTATATAGAGATGTATAGTTTATCTTGGTTGAAACTCATTTCCTGTTGGAAACCAATGCTTTAAAAAAAGGACAGATGGGGAAACTTGGGATTTAAGCGCAACTAAAACAGGATTGAACATCACAAAAATTCTGGAAATACAGATCCGAAAATGGCAAAAATGACCACAGATGACCACAGCCTCCACGTCTTTTGGAGCAAAAAACATCCCCAGATTCTCCCACCCCAAAGGGCCGGGCCCTTCAGACGAGGAGCATTCACCAGGTCATAGCCCAGAACACCTGCAGAATCTTTCAACGCCGATGCCACGACCCTCCAAAAGCCGTGGAATTTCTGCTGGATCGACTCCTCCGGGAGCTGAGGAGCGAAGCGAGCGATTCGCGTTTTTTGGTGGTTTCGCAATGGGAGACAAAAACAACTCCTGGAAATCACAAAAACATAGCACTAGTATGCACTAGTAGCAGTTCTACGGGATGGGAAATGGTGGATGTTTCATCATGTGAAAAATCCTCCAAGAATGGAGATGTCATAAAAAACATGTTGGATTTGAGCGATCGGAATTTCACCAACAGATTAGCAAACATAGTAAACATTTGCCAGGTATGGTGAGACACAACTAATAAGATGAGGATAGCGGCATGATCGTGCACAAGTTTGGGTGGTTCCAAGAGCTGTTTGGACAGGCGATATCTATCATTGTAAACCCACTCACTTGTTGTTGATTAACCCCGCAATGTTCTGTTGGTAGATGAAAGTTGCACTGCCTTCTGAGAATCAAAATTGGCAATAAAGGTTCAACCATGGACGATTTCCCATCGCTAGGGATTTCCGCCAGCTTGGATCGCGGGAGTGTCATTGCCGTCTCAGGCAATGGACTATGTTGCTGTGGCTCCCAGAACAACCATCAATGATCATCACCCATATTAGCTCACCATGGTGCTGGCATAGTTAGCAACATTTGCCCTTGTCCAACATCAACCAAGAGGAAAAAATCCCATGAAGTCGATCGTCTCAACCATCAACATCCATCAACCATCAACCCCCGGAGAAAATCCAAGAGATATCCCAGTAAATCCCAGAAAAACTGGTTGGTGCTTGAGCCCTACCCCTCTGAAAAATGATGGACTTCGTCAGTTGGGGTTACTCTTCCCAATATATATATATACATATATAATATATATATATATACATATATATAATATATATATATACATATATATATATATATGGAAGGAAAGTCATAATCCATTCATGTTCCAAAGCACCAACCACCAACCATCCATCGACCATTCAACCCCATGAAATCCCAAAAAGTTGCTTCACACGTTTCCCCAAAAAACCAAGTCACATAAGAGAAGAAATGTCCCCACGAGGTCACAACTTCTGGTGTCCTCCAGTCAGAAAAATTCGTTTCCCGCGGTCCAAATGTCGTGATTTAACAATGAACCATGGTGATTTAATGGGGTTTAATGGGGTTTAATGGTGATTCCCATGGTTGATAATGGTTAATAATGGTTAATAATGGTTAATAATGGTTAAAAATGGTTAATAATGGTTAATAATGGTTAATAGTGGTTAATAATAATGGTTAATAATGGTTAATAATGGTTAATAATGGTTAATCCAAAAATCATAACTGGTTGGTGGTGCAATAACCATCTTAAAAAATATGAGTTCGTCAATGGGAAGGATGGCATCCCGTATATGAAATGGAAAATAAAAGTCATGATTGAAACCACCAACCAGATAATAAAGTTTAGACAGGCGATTCAACAAGCATAAAATGGGAATGTCGTGGGGATGTAATTCGGAATGTTACTAATAAGTCAATACACAAAGTTTACATTTGCCTAGAATGGAACATGGCTTGCTGGAAAATCCTCCATTCTACAGATGACTTTCCCAGAAGCCTTCATTTACTATAAAGGATGTCCCATTGCCACGTTTGATGACGGCAGGCTATGGCATTTGAAGTCACGAAACTAGCTGAGTGGACGCCTAACAACTCAACTGGAGATGGAGATCAACCAATCATAGTTCGTGGCCGCTGAAATGCAACGAAGACCCCTCTCTCTTGGCTTCCAGGGTCATAAAACGATGTAATCCCCAGAAATTGATTTGACAATTTACTTTTCTATGGTTGAGAGTACCCCAATGAGTTGTGTGTTTTTCCGGCTCGTGACCAGCCAGAATGGAAAGCTCAGCGACACCATCGAGGTGCAACCAAATGGAAACACTTCAAAGGCTTGGCGAATCTACCGAAAATAAACCAAGGTCGACAGAAAATAAACCAAGGTCGACACTAGGAAAACAAAAATGATTATACCATCAATCAACTATAGGTATAATCACCCTAAACCCTAGTTCAACATAGTTCAACTATTTACACCAACTTAGCCAAGCTTTTGGTAAAAAAAATCGATTCCGAACACCAAAACAGCGACGTTTCCCGCGGATCCTTGAATATTGATCAAAACCAATGCTCAGGCAGTCACTTGTGTTGGGGAAACCTGCCACCGTGGCACAGGGCAGATGCCAACTGGTCATTTCAACTTCTTTCGCCAATTCGAGCGCCTATTGGTTTCAATGCACTCTTGTGATATTTAACATGTCCTGTAATTGCAACTTTTTATAAAGCCAAAGACTGACAAACACATGAGCAGTGTTCAAAACCCGCAATGTCGTCCCTTTATTGTGGCTGGTTAACAGGATTCCTTCATAATGGATTTTGATCATCTACGATATATTGAATAGTATAACCCCATAGAATAATTACCCTCTAGAGTAATTTAACCTAGCTATAGAAAAACACAACATGTTTAAGTCCGGTAAACCATCTATTTCTGCCATGGCTTCCAGTTCGAGCTGATGCATCCCGGCCTGTCTTCGGATCGGTGCTGTAATTCAGATCAGCAAAGGACTTGCACTGCCCAAAGATTTTCGCCACCTGACACGTAGAGCGCGTTGCGCGGAAAAACGTGTCAGATGCTGTGTACCCTCTGGTAAACTAACATAGTTATTGAAAATGGCCATTTATAGTGAGTTTTCCCATTAAAAATGGTGATTTTCCGTAGTTATGTTAGTTTACCAGAGGGTAAGTTCCGAGGGAGATATGAGATGCTGACACTGCATCCTCTGATAAACGTTTACATAGCCATTGAACATGGCCCATTGATAGATGATCTTCCCATTAAAATATAGTGATTTTCCATAGCTATGTTACTATGTTAGTTTACCAGAGGGTGTAACCAGAATCTAATGATTATAGCGCAATTTGCTGGGTTGTAACAATACATCCATCTGTATTGTTTTTTTCAATGCTTATGACTAGTTATTACTACTAATAATCATTAAATGTAACACATTACCAGTAACAATAATACCATCGGGTTACTTATGTAATCATATTACCCATAATCATAATTTATTTACCTGCAACAATTGCTATATTACAAGTAATACAATTATATGGGTAATATTATGGACTACTACCTATAATCCAGTAACAATTAACAAGAATGCAATGAATCTCCGGATTGCTGCGGATACCGTTTTGTTTCTGTATACACCAGCGATCATTATATCATATATATATATATACATATCATATAATGTATATATATGATTATAATTGATTATTATATGTATACACAGGTTTTAGATGATTTCACCTCCAGTAATTCAGAATTGCTACTGTGATGGGACATTCCAAAAACGCTCGGATCACACATCGATTTTCTCCGTGTCCACCTCGGGCAACCAGCCAGAGCAAGTCCTCTGGATGGGTTCCAACTTCCTGGGGCAAAATCTGCGAAAACGGATGGGATGAGCGGTGCCCAGGTGACTTTATAAAAACCGGCTTTACAAATCTCCCACATGGTAAGAAAAAACCACACATGGAGCAAGTGAGGGGTGACTTGACTTGTAGCTTTCCGAACCCATCTAAAAGGTGTAAATTGACCAATATCACCGTACCTACTGGGTGAAAAAGCAAGCAAAAAATAGGGCAGAGGAAGGAGGGAAAATGTTGTTTCACCATTTGGACCAAAGGTGTCGTCCACAACCAAACCCAAGGCCGAGCGAAATTCGTCCGGGGACATATTGAATTGCTGTATGGTCCACAAAATGTGTGTATCCCATGGTCAGCAACAACTAAGCACAGCAACTCATGGTAAACCACTTGCATGTGGTAATAGAATCTCCAAGACACGCCAGCAAACAACCACTTTATCATCAAGGGAAGTTGATGAAAAGTGTACCTATGCAACTACGTGCATATCACTATGTACATATACATATGTACGCATGTATGTGTATACAATTATATGTATACATCTATGTATACTTAAATATACATACATATTATATTATTATATACATAAGTGCATACTCATACATGTATAATACATATATATATATATATATGTAACTGTATGTATGTATATATATACAATCATACAGCTATAGATATGGTTAATATAGATACGAAGTACATGAAATCTCGTCATCTTGGCAAGGCGCGGCAAAAGCCAGTCTGGCACCCCTTCTCCGCAGAAACGTTCGGTAAAAGCATCCTGCGGAGCGAGGTCTTTGGAGCTGTAGGGCACAAAGGGCTTTTCTCTCACATGTTTTTCGTGGACTACGAAAATATCGGTTGGTTCTTCATTAAGAAATAACGATAATGTGATCGAAAAAAGGGTGCTCGTTAAAACTGTGAAAAAAAAAAAGAGGCAACTCAGAATGTAGTCGGATTAGAGCTGTAAAATGCTATGACTTAGTTGCTGTTTGCCTCCAAAACTTAGGTTGCGCCACATGTGAGAAGTTTCCAGCTGAACCAAGCATTTTGGAAAAAGGGAACCAAAAATCTGGGTACCACCGGCTGGAAAAATCGTATTTACCATAAGAAAATCATCTACGTAGCAGTCTGAGTAGGCTCTTGAAAGACCCACCCCGTTCACTAAGACAACTCGAGCGAAACTGACTAATGAGTGGGTTATATAACCATAGTTGTGACAATTTCCCAACTTGTGGAGGTGTGGAGGATGTTCCCGCCGGAAATCCCAACCACCACGTTCCCGCTGCATGGAAAAAAACCCGTTGCGGGTCACCCCAACCATGGCGGTTTCTTACCCAATTTGTTGTTGAGCCCCAAGGAAAAAGGGGGGTGATATCCTCAGGTTTCTGAAGGATATCCAGTTTGTTGGCCATGATATATATATATATGCCATCGCATCATTCTGGCCTGGAAAACAACATGAATTTGAAGCACTTCAATTCAACATGGAAGAATTTCCAATAAATGGCTCCCGCTTAGAAACCATTGGAAGATATTGGAACCTCAAAATTTCGTGGCTACCCTCTGGTAAACGTTTACATAACGAACTGGAAAATCACCATTATATCCATTATTAATAGGTAAATCAACCATAAATGGCAATGTTCAATAGCATTCAATAACTATTTTGACATCACCAGAGGGTTTTATTGAGTTTCCATCTTCCATCATCTTCCATCCCCCCACCTGATGGAAGTCTACGATGGTCCAAATGCCATGGCTGTACAAGTCATCCACCAGCTGTCGAACCACCTTGCCGATCACGTGAAGGTCAGGTCAGATCCCCATGGGATCGTCGTTTTATTTGAGATCTGATCTTACATTGTGCTGGTAGCTATATATATAATATATATATACCTATATATCTATAGTATTATATAGTCTATAGTCTATAGTATTCATGAATTAATCTATATCATGATATATCTATAAAAAAAAATCATGGATTGATATTACCATATATGGTTTATGGTACCATCTGGTTATTATGACTGACATAGCCATGGTTAAAATCCCGAAAATAAATGGAGGTTTATAGCTGGGAAAATTATATATTTCTATGGGCCATGGCTTCCATGGCGAACTGTTAAATAACCAGAGGGTAACTATTTTACATACCAACAAGTGACAGTAAAAATAACCAGTAAATATACATTATATAATAAGACTATAGCATGCCATAACCACTTCAGACCTACTTTTTTGGGGATCATCCCTTAACATGTACCTCAGGGATCCTCAGGGTACGGATAAGAGGCTCATGCTTAGCTGCTAGCGGCACCTGCAGGTAGGTGTGATTGTATTGGCCCTCAACCGGCTCCACACCAGGCCACATCACTCCGAGCCTGAACAGGCTTTGGGCTTCTGACTGTGGATGGGCCAGCGAAATCCGATAAACCACCAAAAGGATGGTTGAAACATGTTGAAACCCTATATATAAATAATGGCATAAACCATCTATCAACTGGTGATTCGGATTTCGCTGGCCCATCCACCATAGTTTGACCGTTGAAAGGTTTTTCCATATAAAATCGATCGAAACCTAGATTTTAGTTCCTTCATTTCCTGGAGTCAGAGTGCTTTTGTTCACAAGCTACCAGCATGTCCAGTGTCCAAAGATGTCCAAAGTACAGCACCCACTGATTTTTGAGATAACCGAACTCCCATTTTTTCCATGAAAATCCCATAGTTTTATGGTAAACCCCCATGGAAAATCACCAGATTCTTTGAATCTCTTGGAGCACCATCTGCTTCACTAGCTCTGGGAGTCAGGCCGGATCGCGTTGAAGCCCCAGGACTGGAGATTGGCCATATCCTTCCGACTGATCTTATTTGGCAGTGTGTCAAAACCTTGTACCCCTGGTGAACATCAAAATAGCTGGTAAATGGATGTTCATCCCACTAAAAATGGTATTAATAGGTATTGATCCATACCCATTTCTGAAACATCCCATGAGAAAATCTTAAAGAAATCGAGATTGACTATGATAGATTCTGGGAGAAAGATAGAGATATCAGAAATCCGATATTTCGATGTCTCATCTTATTTCTGAAACATCCCATCTATGATAGATTCCAGAGATAGAGAATTCCGAATGATGTCTGGCACATTCGACTCTTGAAGTCCGGATACATGGCCTCTGCCATTTCAAGGCCATTAAGCCATGGTTTTTGCAGATGCCATGGCACCCAGTCCTCTGCATTCAGGGAACTGAACGGGTCAAAGGCTCCTTCAGTCAGGACTTTGATCGTAAACCAAACGTACGTGGACAGGTTGGTGGTTTCGTTTCGTAAACAACATCAGGTTCCGATTCTCCCTATATATATATGTGTGTGTGTGTTCCTCATCTTGAAGCGGAAATCACGCAACGAAAATATAGATATGACATGATATGACCAAAAATCATCTGCAGTTTGCAACTGACATACCCTCTGGTAATTTAACAGTTTGCTATTGAAAATAGCCATAGAAATAGTGAGTTTTCCCATTAAAAACGGTGATTTTCCATAGTTTTCTGTAAACGTTTACCAGAGGGTATGAACCAATTAAATCCCATCAAACCACCATAAAACCCCATTAAATCACCATTTTCCTATGGTTTTCCTATGGTTTACCAAACAAAACCACCAGGATTTTGGATGGAGCCAATTGAAGTCTCAGAATCCAATCATAAATCCTACCGGTCCTGGCCGCGGTGAAGGATTCGTTTTATTTTTTTGCATCCTGATGTAAGATCGAAGGGATGAAATCCAGCTGGTTGGTGGTATACCTACCCCTCTGAAAAATATTCGTCAATGGGAAGGATTATCCCATATATTATGGAAAATAAAAAAAAAACATGTTTGAAACCACCAAACAGAGGACTTATTAGCCAGGCTATACCAGATTAACCAGATACTAAAATGGGTACAAAATACGGTGAAAATGGTATAATCCTCAAAGTGCAGGCTGGTAAGTCGGTGAAAAACTTCTCACCACACCTGGAGAATGTCCAGCATCGTGGCAAAGGGCGATTGTATGGGAGAGTTTGCCCGCTGGCCCACTTTCAGGTATGACTTATCTATAAATTCATAAGATTTACCTCTTATATTATATATATATGACCATTGATAAACACCATGTTTTTCTCCAACATTTATGAAGATCTATTTAAAGTTCACATTTCACTATACTTGTTTTAAATCCAGAAACCAGAAACATGTAAAGATCCAGAAACAAACATATCACTATTTTTGTGTCAGCATAAAAACTATGGGTTTTTAACCATATTTGTTAATACCTTGGCACACCATGGCGTGGCTTTCCGTTGTGGCGTGGCTTTCCGTAGTGTGGCGTCCTGTGCTGGGATGCCATGGGAAACTCTTCTGCACCACGTTGAGGCCGTGGAAGATCTGCACGCGACCATCGGGACCACGAAAGCGGCCATGGTCGTCCACTTTGAGGCGCCTCGGCGTGACCTGGGGATGCCGATGTTGGGATAGTTAGGAGAGGTATACATATATAGTGTAAAGATATATATATATACTGTATATATATATATATACACTGTATATATATATATCCCATAGGATCCATGTATGGTATATATGCTAACATTTGGGATATATTGATGGTAAATGTTACCATATATACCATACATGGATCCTATGGGTATATATGTATATATGATGGTAACATGATAGGATGATAGCTAAATGATGATAGCTCCCATTTGTTGGGCGATTCTTCGCCTCTGTGTCAGGCAAGGGCAACGGTGATCATAGAATGGGGTTGAAAGAATGCCTTCCCCATGGGTCATTAAATGTCCCCATTTTTCACATCACCCAACCATTAGGTATATGGTCAATGCCATGGCTACTATAAGGTGATGTCCAATATTCCCAAAATGGGACATTTAATGACCCATGTCCCGGATGTTCAAAAAGTTCCAGAAATCCGTGGTTGAGTATTGGACCTTTTCATTGCCTGCTTTGGGGGCTATTTCATATCACCGGGATGGAAATGGTTCAAGCACCTGTTTAAAAAATACCCTCTGGTTATTTCACATAGCCATGGAAAGATCCACCATTTTTCAGTTCGGTAAACCATCTATTTCGATTAGGGCCATGGCTTAACCATGGCGAACTGTTAGTCATAACCAGAGGGTAAAAACAATGGTGTTCCAATGGGTCTTGACCCATCCCCCGAGTGTCCAACCACAAGGGAAAAAAAAAACAGCCCCAGCCCTATAGAATAAATAGCAGGCGGTGAAATCTATAATATAATTTCATAATATTATATATATATATATTAGTATATATGTATGTATATAATCATATATTCTAAATATTGCAATGTATCATTAATATCGAAATCATATATTGGCAATACATTGGAATGTCTATATAATATGTATATATATAATTTTATATATATATACACACACACATGTTTGCATGTCAGCCCTCGGCAACATCACCATCCTACCTGGATGGACACTGCGGCACAGCATAGCACTTTTCGGCGACACACGCCATGGCCGGGCAAAGTCACTGGGTTTACCCGGTGTCATCACACTGGCCTTGAAAATCCACTAGCCATGTTCCATCTATCGCCAGGTTTGACTGACCCTCAAATTGACGGTCAAAAACCCATAGCTTTCCGATTCTCCTTTAAGAACCCATCCAGGAAACATGTCAGGCACCTGGAATCTTGCAGAGTTGGCTCACAATGGCTCTCATAAGCTCCGGATCTCTGGAAACCTTGGCCGTGGTCTGCTCCAAGATCTGTCCAAGCGAGACTGACATACCTGCGGTGGGTCACGGTGTTCACTAAGATAGAAGGGATGGAAAGTACAGTTTTAGTCTTGATCCCTTGGTCTTTGGAAAAAGTGGGCCCCTTGAAAAAAAAAAACAAAAGTGGAACTCTGTAAAATGGTACCCAGTTACCAAAAAAGTTAAACTGGGTAAGAAAAAGTGAGCCCCTGTAAAATGGTAAACTCAATAGCAAAACCCTCCCAGTTACCAACCATTTTTCAGGTCATCTGACATCATCTCACTAATTAGGTTTTTTTTCTACCCAATGCCTTCCAACCCAACTTGTGAATGGATATATAGCTTTCCCGCATATCAGGGCATCCGGCGAAATATCAATTTGCGCGTGGCCGCGCCTTCGTTTCTTCCCAGGACTTGTAGCACTTGCACCACATTCTGCGCAGAAAGCATGGAAGACAGTCGCTCCGCGCAGCTTTCGGCCAAAGCTGTGAGGCCGTACTGATTTCCTGCAGCCGGAACAAGTCCCCGATTCGGGGAGGGGTATCCCCTTTGTAAATGGTTTATACCTGTGAAAACTATCCAAGTACTAAGTGGGATGATCATCATGATCCTCCAAGTAGAAAAGTGGATGGTATAATTGGCATGTGTGTGTGTGCTAAGATATGCACAACCCTTTAACAAGAACATTGCTTGTGTATCCACATATCTTAGCACGTCCTTTTGTTCGTAGAATGAGTCGATCATGTATTCGGATATAATGGGTGGTGATGGGGTTACGGTGCATAGAAAGAAGGGACTTGCAAACCAATGATCTGCGATCTGTGACTTGAAAAAATCCTGCTCTCCGTTGCCGGTAATGCTTGGTATATTATGGTATACGATCGACCGGTCATTCCCACTTGGGAAAGGACATTAGTACCTCCTGGCATCAGGGTTTCATCACCGAATGATCGGTGACGACAAAAATAGGAATGTTAATGATTGTTAACCAGCAATAATGAGTATATTACATGATAAAACCTCATATCACCAGCAATTATGATGTCTGATGAGATCAACCTCACATTTTTTTTGGGGTGGTAGAATCAGAAATTGAGCTAAACATATGACATAGCTAAACCTTGGAGAGAAGCATCGCTTAACCACCATGTCCGACAACAGCAATAAAGTGACCAAGTGTCCGAGGCAAATGAGGTCACCCAACTGTTGCAACGGCGCCGAGGGAATCTCTTCCGTGTAGATGTACTGTAATCTGAGGCGGCCCCGGTGGGATCATTGGCACTCGGCCAGCTCGCGGTGCGCCCCGTTCCGGTGCGCGTTCCGGTGATGGGGCCCCGGTTCCAGTGGTTTGTTGGTGAAGGTCACTACAATAACTAAGATTTATGGGATATATCTGTAAGTTAGATGGGGTTATAAACTTGTATCTAAAGGCCCCACTATGTAGATATGAAGATCTGATGATAGACCTCGTATGCCTGCTGTTTACTGTGTTGCGCTCAATGTATCTATGCATCGTGCTTCGTATCTATTCCTATGTTTGGAGGTTCTGCCAAATTGAAAAAAGGGCGGCTAACAATCCAAAATGGGGTCGTTTGGGTTTCAGGTATACATATATAAATATTATAATCGACTATATTATATTTGTATAATACATGTATAGTAGATATACCGGTATGTACGTACGTATAAGATCATAAGCTATCTATATAAGATTGTGTCCTATAATATGCATACATACATATAATATAATATATGATATATATATATATATATGTGATTTATATGATATATATATATACATACATATGTATAATGAATCCAGATGTATATTCTACCATATCTATATGATATATCCGCCGGTTGACGTTGCCCAACGCCAACCCAGGAACAAGCATCGCAGGGCGGCAGTCGAAGCATTGCGGATGACCTGGGGCGTCCCGTTTACTCTTCCCTTGTGGCAATTCAGCATAGCAAATTTATTATAAAACCATAGGAAAACCATAGGAAAATGGTGGTTTAAAGAGTTTTTATGATGGTTTAATGGGATTTAGTGGGATTTACTGGTAATTTAATGGGTTTTACCCTCTGGTTATGACTAACAGTTCGCCATGGTATAGATGGCCCATAGAAATAGATGGTTTACCGTTCTTAATAGCATGGTGATTTTCCATGGCAAAATGTGAAATAACCAGATGGTAAAAATCACCCTCTGGTACATTAACATAGACCCTGGCAGATAGGGGTTGGAAGACTAGTTTCCATTCAAAATTGGTGGTTTTCAGGGTCAACAAGTTAATTTACCAGCGGGTAAGCCATTTATAGATGATGAAATAGATGATTTAAGTATTTGATAGTTCTATAGTTGATAGTAATCTCCATAGTTCTATAAGTTCTATTACCAGGGTATAGTTATTACATTTAAGCCATGGCAATTGTTGATAGTTCTTGTAAATTACCAGAGGGTAAGCAATCATTTTATGGACTTTTGGTCGGCGAGGTCACCAAAGCGAATTCGCGTTGTTGAAGCCAAGTTATCCAGTAATCAAACCATTGCAATAGGAAACCAAGTTATCCATCTTTCACATTCACATGTAACACAATATATATATATATTCCAGCTGAATAAGATCAGCAACCCAACTAAACTACCCTTTGGCACCCTTTGCAATCAAACATGCTGAGTGAGTTTTTTCCCCTGAAACCTCCATGAAAATCTGGAGGGATTCATCTGGCTTCAACATTGGGGGCTTCGCCTCCTGAAATTCTACATGGAAACTTCATTATTGACAGGTCCCATTTTCAAGAAGGGCAACAACCTTGTCATTCTACACAATGATTGGTTGATGCCATGGTTCATTCACACCCTATACATACAGCGCTGCGTTTGACCTTGGCCTTGTAACAAGTGTCAATGCATCCCGCTTGCGCAGTGATTTCCCACTTAACAGGCATATTTCATATCAGAAAATTAGTGCACATATATTAGTGACAGAAAAGGAATATCATATCAGAAAAAGTGCACATATATTAGTGACAGTCATGCTTCTGACATATATACCCTCTGGTAATTTAACAGTTTGCTATGGAAAAAATCACCATTTTTCATGGGAAAATCCACTCTAAATGGTGATTTTCCACTATAATTCACCATTTTTCATGGGAAAATCCACTATTTCAATGGTGATTTTCCATAGAAAATGGCCATTTATAGTGGATTTTCCCATTGAAAATGGTGATTTTCCATAGCTTTTTGTATGTTTACCAGGCCGGGTACTTTTCCACATCTGTCGTGACGTGCATCATGGTGCCAGGCTGCAATCCGCCGCTCTCGACCCTCGGTCATCTCCTTGGATCAAGCGAGGGCAAGGGGAAAAATCACCATGGGATAGAATCAATATATAACTGACCAACAATATATGGGTATGTATAATATATATATATATATATATACAATTTATATATATATATGTGCCATTATATGCCTAATATATCCTAATATAATTTAATATATATATATATAATATGTATAATATATATATATATACATGGGTTGTAGCCCAAAACGCTTTGGTAACGCGTTTAGTTTTATTGTTGCTGTATTTCACAAGCCAAAAAATTCAACGTGGATGGTGGATCTGGAGACTCTGGATCCACTGGATCCAGATCCTTGGGAAAATGCCAAGAATTACTAGGAATGGATTGGATTTAGAATTGGATTGGATGATTGGTTTTAATGGTTTTATAATGTTTTATGTTTCGAGGAATTCTAATCCATATTACTATCATGATGGAATCATTATCTAGGTTTTCAAATGTGTTCAAAAAAGGCCTCTGGTAGTGGAGCCGCCACGAAAACATATGAAACCCATGGGATGCAGTGGGTCAAATAAAGAGAATCGGCGCAGTTTTATGGCTGGCGAATCACCCTTGGAGAAGTCGAAAGGTCTTCTTGCACAGCTGTTGTGTAGAGATCCTCCCCGTAAACCTTCAGTTCATACTCGGATTTTTCTGTATCACCCTTACCATCCTATATCTGCTTATAATCCATATACAGTATCCCGCAAAATCGTGTTCTCGAAAATAAACCAAACTGGTAAACTAACATAGCGGTTGAACATGGCCATAGAAACAGTTTTTTTTCATCCAGCTATAAAATGGTGGATCTTTCTATCGTTAATCGTCGATACTTCTGGTGTTTCACACCACCATTTTTCACCGTTCGAAGCGCCGCTGAATCGTCCCTGAATCCACCAACTTTAATGGTGAGCTCTCCTCCTTGGAGGATCAGTCCATATAGCAAAAAAACACTGGGATTTGTGAGGTGATATTCTAGATGGGTTAAGCCATGAATCAAGGACTTAACACGTATCTCATTTGAAAACACCGATGGTGTCAGAATGTGTCATACCTCAATGTTTTTATACTGGTTAGTGGTATACCTACCCCTCTGAAAAATCATGGAGTTCGTCAATGGGAAGGATGACATCCCACCTATTATGGAAAATAAAAGTCATGTTTGAAACTACCAACCAGTACCCTCTGGTAAACTAACGTAGCTATAGAAAATCACCATTATTAATGGGTAAATCCACTATAAATGGCCATTTTCAATAGCTACGTTAAATTACCAGAGGGTACATTTTACATCCCAAAAAAATCCATGAAAATCCAAGCTGCACTGCTCAGCATCCGATCAAAGACTTCCGAACGCTTGGCCAAGACTGCACGGTGACAGGGCAACTCGCCTGGTGATTCGACCGGTGCCGCTCCAGGCCCCAGGTGGCCCAGGTGCCATCGTTGGGGCCCTGGCTAAATCCATGGGTTCCCGTGGAAATGAGCGAAAAAATCATGAAGTATCTATAAATCATGGATTTTCATGGGATTTTCCATAGTTATGTTGGATTGAGGGTAGTGAGCCTGTCATGTGACTACGAACCATTTTTCGTTTTCAATCCAAATGGGGTTGAACTACCCTTGTTCCGCAAAGATGGCACGGGAAAAGACCATGTTCAACAGGAAAATAATCGATGTTTATTGAGAAAAAACATGAAAAAACAATCATTGCCATGTTCAATCGACGGCGGGTACCCTCTGGTAAACTTACATAGCTGTTGAAAATGGCCATAGAAATAGTTGACTTACCCAGCTATAAAATGGTGATTTTCCATATAGTTATGTAAACGTTTACCAGAGGAATCCAGGTTTCAAATTGGTCCAAAGAGTTCGCCATCAGCCATGGTTTTCTGGACCAATGGACCAGGAGGGATTGGAATTTGGGACCTTTTTGTGCTTCCACCCATTTGGGAATGGTAAGCATAGCACCTATTTATGGTGATCTGGGGGATGGTGTGTTAATTGTTTTACCCACATTATCCTGGTTTGTGGTTGAGCCCTACCCCTCTGAAAAATCATGGAGTGAAAGATGTGAAAGTCAGTTGGGATGATGATTCTTCCCAATGGAAAAATATAATTCATGTTCCAAACCGCCAACCAGTATACCTGGTGACCCTTTTTTAGATGATTGGATATTATTGGTTTGGTACAATCTGCTGATATCTCCTATGTCAGTGTTCTTGGAAACTTCTCCCTTTCTGTTTTTGGGTTCACCAAAGGCTGTCATTTGGAAAATTTGGGCGACAAGCCATGCTCAAAGTGATGCTTTGCCGTCCATAGTCCATAGATGTTCATCAAACAACACTGGTTGGTGGTTTCAACGTCACAAAAAAGGAAAGTCAGTGAAAAAATATGTGAAACTGCCAAACACGTTTTTTTCTCGACTGCATTGTCTCATTTCCTGAATACCTAATGGGTGGAGAAGTAAAACATGGGAAGCAAACACCTTGGTAATTTTGACACAAGTCCAGGCCCGACCGAAGACGGATACCCCAAACCACAGCGGCTAATCATCACATTCCACATGAAAAATGACCACAACTTGCGGCTATTGAATGGTATTCCCCACTTTCAGACACAAATAGAAGATACAAATAGACGACACCAAGAAGCTTTGCTCATCTTCTGCACAGATCGTCATGTCCGTGAACTTCATATCCTGCGCCGTACAAATGCCAGGTTGGAATATTGGCTGGTAGCCCCATGGGCATGGCTGAAAATATGGAAAACAGAAAATTCCATCATTCATCATCATGTTCTCCATTTCAAGTGCCATTGTTTATGAGTATCCTCATTTTCAGTCACACCCAAATCTTGACAATTGCAAGTATCAGTCACGTCAGATTTCATTGTATCCCCAGCATATCCCTGTTGTATCCACATTATATCCACCATTTATCAATAATTTCCTCATAAAATGTATCACCATTTATATATATCACCATTCTATCACCATCCAATTTATCCACATAAAATTCCACCATTTATCTGGGTAAATAATAATATTTCACTAACCTGAATTAAGGCCATTTGGGGATGATTCCCCTTACTAACCATGATTCCAGTGAGGTCGCAGTGAGGTCGTGATCAAATTTACCCAGATTTATCCACATTGTATCCACCAAACATCCTAAAAACATGATTGGCTTAAGCCCCCCCAATTGATCCCAACAGAATGTTGGCTCGGGAGTGCAGCAGCCATGGCTGTTTGTTTTTCCCACGGATCCGATGATGCAGATCGTGTTTCAAACATACCGGTCGTTTCATGAAATACTGGTTGGTTAAGATCACTGGATTGGTTTAAGGGAAAATTTACAGGAAACCATGGTTTTTACCATCAAATATAGGGCTTTCCTGTAAATTTTCCCATCATCCAATTCGTTGGTTAAGAACTATAGAAGGCAATAAGTATATATATATATCACCTAATGATTTTCATGATGAACTAATATGAACTATAAATTGGCTTACTATCATCAAACCAACAAACCAACAAAAATCAGCTATAATCCCCTAGTACAATCATCAACAGGGCTTTTGAACACCGCTATGGGCTACATGGCAAGGCTCCTGCCAAAGCTCCCTGCCAAAATCCAATCTGCGCCTGCACATGCGACAACCAACAGAGCCCTGAATCCCGGAAAGTGGGGCTTGAATGGTGATTTAACCCACAAAAACATAGGGAAAATGGGGATTTGGGCATCTAATTTATGAACGCTAAGTTGGTAACTACAAACCAACTAGGGTTGTGAAGGGGGGCCTCTGCTTTTAGTTGTGAATGCCAGTCCCCTGAAATTGCTATATATAGGTACTGATCAATAGCCATATGGGATTATGACCATCACCTATGAATCTTTTAACATCATATAACCTTCAACCAACTCATTGTTAGAAGTGCTTCATCCTCCATTTCAAAACCTCCAAAATGAAGGTTGTTTGGGTTCCAAGTTGCAATCCCACATCTACTGGGATGGCTAAAAGGGATTGAGGCAGCCTCAAAACCACCGCTTCCGCTTGCCCAAGAGCACATTTGTTGAATAAGAAAAGGACCCAAATCTTATCTATGCAGAATGTAGAAAATTAGTTCCCGCAAAGAGCACATTTGTTGAATAAAAAAGAACCCACATCTTAACTATGCAGAATGTAGATAGTTTACGCAAAGAGCACATTTGTTGAATAAAAAAAGAACCCACATCTTAACTATGCAGAATGTAGAGAGTTCCCGCAAAGAGCACATTTGTTGAATAAAAAAAGAACCCAAATCTTAACTATGCAAAATGTAGATAGTTCCCGCAAAGAGCACATTTGTTGAATAAAAAAGAACCCACATCTTAACTATGCAGAATGTAGATAGTTTACGCAAAGAGCACATTTGTTGAATAAAAAAAAACAAATCTTAACTATGCAGAATGTAGATAGTTTCTCTGACTTTCTCGTTTCGAAGTGTAAAGGGCTTGTGATCTCCTACATTCATCAAGCTTGGATTCGCAGTCGTTACATCCCCATCTTCAGTTGCCACATCCCACCAAAGTTTTGGTGCTGAACCACACATCTTGATTCAAATCTAGAAATCACAGCCCAATCCAACCACCAATCTTCAGGGCTAATCTTATAGCTACCCTGCCAAGAATAGATCTTCACATCCGGCCACTTCACCCTGTGTCGCTTGAACCATTTCAACCACAAACCAAGATTAAGCAGGACCCTTCTTCAATAGGAACATCCTCTGCCCCGGTCAATTAACCTAGACCTTGGCATCAGTCGGGGGTTGGAAGATGAGTTTCCACTTTTAAATATGCGTAGAAATTTACCAGAGGTTACCTAATATCAACATAAAATTGTTATCAATCAACTAGATCATATATAACATTATATAACAAAATTAAACTCTTTAAGGTTGGACAATTCACCTCTTAGGTGACTAATGAAACTCTTTAAGATTGTACATACCCTCTGGTTATTTAACATAGCCATGGAAAATGGCCCATTTATAGATGATTTTCCCAGCTATAAACCTCCATTTTGCATGGCTATGTTAAATAACCAGATGGTATTCCTCATGGATCCAGACCTTCACCAACCGCAAGGCACCGTGCTGCAAAGCGCCTCTTGTTGGGATCATAGCCGACCGTTTTGGGATCGCACCAGAGCTCCGCCACGCAACGCAGCTCGCCGTCGGGAAAATACTCCTCGACCGTGCGACGGTAGAGGGCTATGGGAGGATCGAACTAAGGCGATGACTATGGGATGATCATGGGGATATATGGGGATATAACATGATTACCCTCTGGTAAACTAACATAGCTATTGAAAATGGCCATTTATAGTGAGTTTTCCCATTAAAAATGGTGATTTTCCATAGTTGTGTTAGTTTACCAGAGGGTAACATGATATAACAGAACATGATATAACATGGGGATATATCATGAAAATCATCAATGTGAATGTACATGTGCGATAGAATGGGGGTATACTGGTGAGTATTGGGGCTTACTAGTAGGTATAACATGGTATAACTATGGGATCATAGCCTCCATAAGTTGGGAGATGGGGACAGTGGAAAAGCCACGACAGAAGGACCCCAGAGATAAGTTGGTGACAAACCCAAGTACAAATAGATCCATCATATTTCCTTATTAGCTTAGTTATATAAGCCTGCTTACCTACGTGGAGGGGCCTGCATGATATCGATTGATAGAGTGTCAAGTTGTATCACTGCTTGGATGTGTATCCAGGTCTTTCGCCCCGTAAATGACTTAGAAAATTGGATATAGGATAGCATGTTTTTTTTGTGGGATTACTTAGAGGATCATCCCGCTTCGTAACTGGTTAGTAAGTGGGGTTTTTTAACGTCATTTATACATGGGATCCCGAGTTAGGGGACAAAACCTCCACCCAGGGCAACAAAAAACAACAGCCCCCGACGGGATGATCCTCCACCCAGCTTCTCTGGCGTTCCGCATGGTCTCTACTTGTGGCCCTGTTTTGTTGGCGATGTATGAAAGGGATTGAAAGGGCCCAGCGGAAGCAAAAAAAAACATAGAAATTCATGAAAGCTCATAGAAACTCATAGAATTTCCCTATTATTCCAATCTATGCCAACAATTTCGCGTTGTGTTTCCCCTTCCGGCGCCACCTCAACAAGTTAGCTTAAAACCTAAACGTGACATCACTGTGACTCCTCGGATGATCCAACAGCACATGAAGAGTTGGGCTTATAATTCATAGCTATAATATGCTATATGCTATAATATATCATAATATCTTATAGTAGCTGTTGAAAATGACCATTTATAGTTGATTTACCCAGTAATAATGGTGATGTTCCATGGCTATGTTAGTTTACCAGAGGGTAATATGCTACAATATATCATAATATCTTATAAGATATTGCACTATTAATTATAATATATGATCAAATATACTATAACATAGTTTATCATATATTATAATATGCTATAATCAGGCCACTTCCAACAATATCAACAATGGTATACTACAAATACTCAAATATATATATATACATACCCTCTGGTAATTTAACATAGCTATTGAAAATGGCCATTTATAGTGGATTTACCCATTGAAAATGGTGATTTTCCATAGTTTTTTGTATGTTTACCAGAGGGTATATATCACTAAATACTGCTATAATTCCAAAAACATATCGGAGACATCAAGGGAAATGTCACAGCGCGTCCTCTCCAGCAGGACCACGGACAGATTTTGTGTAGCCAAGATTTTAACGTGTACTAAGCAATCAAGAAAAAGATCGAATCTAAAAGCGAAAAAAAAAATAGAAACAACAAACTATACAGTACGGTGCCCCCCAGATTCACTAGTTACTAGTTCGTTATATCTACCACCAGATTCACTAGTTACTAGTTCGTTCTATCTACCATAAACATCCATAAACCATAGACTTAAGCCACTTTTCCAAGGCATGCCATGCTATCCGATGGCATCGGCCCGTTGTGGGCCGTCCTTGGGAGCGTTGAAGGTCCACAGACATCCCGCAGTGCGACACCATGGGCCTGCACCATCAGCCTCACAACTGGAAAAAATGGGAATTCGAAGCCAGATTTAGAAGTGGAAAATGGTGATTTAATGAGGGTTTATGGTGGTTTAATGGAATTTTTCATGGGATTTACCCCCTGGTTATTTGACATAGCCATGGAAAATCCCGAAAAATAAATGGAGGTTTATAGCTGGGAAAATCATCTATAAATGGACCATTTTCCATGGCTATGTTAAATAACCAGAGGGTAAACCCTAGGGTAAACTAACATGTATGATTTATGACTTTTTTTTAACCCCTGGCATAATCATCCATTTTCATGACAATCATTGTTCACTACGTGGATGTGCATCCCACGAATCGGCTCCGTGGTTTATAATCCATTAATCTAAGTGACACTAAGCCATATTTCATCCCATGTAATCCAGTGAAAATATTCCATGAATCTAACTGGGTGGTGTAGTCATTACCCTAGGGTAAACTAACAGTTCGATGTGGAAAACACATGGGGAAAGCCAGGAAAATAGTCTAGAAATGGTTGATGTTCCACATCTATATGTCACTTTGCTCTAGGGTATCATTGATATACTCTATATATATATATATCAGGATATCAACGGGTATCATTGATATACTCTATATGATCAGGATATCAATGATATATATATATATATAAGAAAATATACTACCATTCAGATAGTATACAATATACTATGGGTAATATGGATATATCATGATATATCATAGAATATCATAATAAATCATAGTAATATGATGATCATAATATATATATATAGAGAGAGAGAGAGAAAGATACATCAATATACATCAGTATACAGGTGGTGCCAAAATTATAGAACGAAATTAGGAGTACAAAAGTACGGTAAAATACCGTACCTTCGTACTCCTCCGGATCCCGATTCCGCGCGGATTCGGATTACTTTTTCTGTTCTATAAATATTTTTTCTGTTCTATAATTTCTGGCACCTCCATGATATCTATATTGCATATTTGTATACAGTACATAATTACGCATATACCGTAGATACCCTTCTGGGACCCCAGAAAAAAGTGACACAGAAACCAGAATTATAGAACGGTTTACACAAAATTAATTATAGAACGGAATGGAACAAATAATTGTAGAACGAAACTAGTAAAATGTGGGAAAAATGGAGGAAAACACAATTATAGAACAAACCAGAATTATAGAACGGCGAAAAAAATTAGGAGTAAGTTAAGACAAGTTTTTTTTCATACCTTCCGAGGAAAACAGAATTATGGAACAACAGGGTACGGTAAATAACCGTACCTTCGTACTCCTCAACTTCCGTTCTATAATTCTGGCACCGACCATACATCAATATGTCATGATATACCATAATATACCTCAATAGCCAATCAAATCAGATTTTAGTCGATGAACATATGAGTAAAAATGGTGCTTTAACTGTTTGACCAGGATGGTGATCTGTCAGTGCTCTCTCCCGTGAATCTTTCTGGGGTGCCACAAAACATGGGGAGGATCAATGCAGGATGGTGGCCCCAGTGATGTGAATGTTGGTTTATAAACCCCACAAATACTATAATATACTATAGATATATCTCAATCAACCATAGTTAAACCGGTTTATAAATATACTATAATATACTAATATAATATAGATATATCTACAATCAAAACCATAGTTAAACCAACATTCACATCACTGGGCTTGGTGGTTTCAACCTACCCCTCTGAAAAATATTGGAGAGCCACGAGGCGGTCGGACGACCTCGCGACCCGTCTCTGAAAAATGATGGAGTTCGTCAGTTGGGAAAGTCATAAAAATCCATGGTTCCGAACCACCAACCAGTATAATATGCTACAATATGCTACAGTATATCATAATATGTTATAGAACATATTTTATTGAACAATATGTTATTGTAATATACTAACATCATATATTGTGATATACTAAGATATGTTATCATATATTATAAACCACTTTTCTAAGCCACTTTTGGCTGAACACTACCGAGGCGTGGCGTCATGGCATCCCCCAAAATCCCCAAAAAGTCCAGCCCCAACTGGAAATTCCATATGCGAAAAGCACACCAAAACTGGGCCATTTTTACGGTTTTTTTTAATGTTGGTATATGGAAATTCCATACATTGAGCCATGGAGATTCCATGGAAATTCCATGAAATTTCATTGAAATCTAGCCGTGAAATTTTCGATTCTACAAACTACGTACGGGTGAATCTGCCATCCTATCCATCACTGCTCTTGAGCCCCGGCCATCCTTTTCCCCATCTTTCAAACACGCCGGAATCCCAGAATCAATGGATCGGTTTCTTTAGAAATATTGAAACTGGAAAGCCTGTATTTTTATCCCAAAACCTCCACTTTTCAACCAAACCAAAAAGATCAAAAAGTCATTGTACTTCCAATCCGAAGCCTGTCACGTTTGAGATTTTTTGGGGACAGTCGTAGTTTAGGTGACCTCGTGACCTCGTTCAGAGCTAGCCTTTGGTAACATGGCAATCGAACATCAACGTTAAATGCTGTTTATAGCTGGGAAAAAATGCTGGATTTTCCAGTGCCATCTTTGATGACACCAGAGGGTATAAATCCAATTTCTATAAATCCTCAAGTTCCATGGTTAAATCCTCCATTGCTCATTACAGCCACCATGGTGAACCACCAACCACCGGAGCCATGGCGGCCCGCAGCCAAGACTCAAAGGTGAAGCGATGGCTCTTCTCCCTGACCTGAAATTCCGCCGCGTAGCGTAAGGAGATGCGCGCCTGGTGAGGGTCAGTGATGCCCCCCATGTTGTTGTTCTTTTCATGGGGATGTATATATATAGTATAATAACAAAATAGGAATAAATAATAATTATTATTATTATATATGATAGGAATATCATGGGGATAGGAAATACAAGTTATTTACATTCATTTCAGCTTGACAAACAAAAAGGGATGATTCGGGATGGTTTTTTGGAAATGTTCCTGACCAAATAGCACTCCCAATTTCCTGACGTGTTTTTAGTTACACGGGGACTCGGGGCCCCTGATCATTTGATATAATTTGTACGTTTTTATCTTTTGTACATATGGGTGTGTCTGAAAATAGTGTACCCCTAAACCCAATGGTTAATGATCATTATCCCTATTAAATGGCTATTTCATTGGGAATATACCCTATTTTCAGACAAACCCATGTTTCTACTTTGATGTTGTGCAACATGAAGATGAGTTTAATGTTGGGCTTTTGACATAGAGATGTTGGACCAGGTCCTCATTGTTCATGGCTTGGAGAGTTTTTTGGGGGGGTTTGGGGGGGGGGGGGGGGGGGGGGGGGGGGGATCTGATAACGTTCTTGATAGTACGCTCTTGATGGTTCATTTGCATGAATGCATGAAGTGGCAGACTTGTTCCTACGCTTGTCATTGCTTGGGGAAGGTTTGGGGGGTTGGGGGGGGCTGTGATAACGTTCTTGATAGTATGCTCCAGATGGTTCATGTACATGAAGTGACAATATACGTATTCTTCATGAAGTGACATATGTGTTGCTGCACTGTGCACTCTTCGTGGGACATGAGTTGATACTTTTGCGGCTACGCTCTTCATATTTCCTGTGCATGAAGTGACATACGTGTTGCTACGCTGCGCACTCTTCGTTGTAATGAGTTGATACTTTTGCTGCTACGCTCTTGATGGTTCTTGTATGTGAAGTGACATAAGTGTTGATACGTCTTTCATTCTTGGGGTTTCATCTATTTCGCTTATTTCAGCCACAAGAGGACCTGGTAAAAGCTTTATTAGGGATACATCAGTATATTTGTATATGTTGGTAATGTTTGAGACATTGTATCATCTTACAACATGGTATAAGCTTATGGCCACGGAACTGACAAATGGAGGATGAAGGAAATTGTTGTCAAAAAAAAGTTTTGGAGATGATGGGGCGCACAATCCCTTGCAAATACCATTAAAAGTGTGTTTTGGACGCCGTCCTCATGGCATTTCGTGGCCATTTTCAAACTATCGATGTACACGAAACACTGCGAGTGTTCAAAAATCCATTCCACGCTGCTGCTGAAAATGTTCATTTCGTCAGGGGCCTCGAGCCCCCGTGTTTGGAGGTTACTATGATTGGATGCTAAAATATGAGAAACCACTAATGTAAGTAATGTAAGTGGATATGTATATACACACATAGATCATCCTGCTTGCTCAAAAAATGTTTTTGTGGCTGGTGTAAGTCTGGCAATTGTTACTGTTTACAATGATTCGTTCACCCATTAAATGGTGGGTTGTTAGGCACTCACAATTCCTGCGATGCACATCCAATGGCTGATGTTTTCTGGTGACGTGGGAAAGTCGAAAGTGGAAATCTGATCCTGGAATGCATTGAAATATCAGTCACTAGTAGGAAATCAAGTCGGATGGTTCTCGCGCAACTTCAGTTCAACGAGGGGGTTCCCCGAGTTTTCCCATGTTCTTTTTCGTCATTAATCGTCTTCCAAAGCGTCAACTTCACTCTATCACTTTGAATCGCGAAGGCATGTTCCAAAGTTTGAGACCGCACGGTGCCGGTAATTCTTGAAGCAACATGAAGAAACCTATACATTATTTATATAACTTATCATCATCATTGATCCATATTGATCCTATGGTTTTCCCTGTTTCCACGTCCAAAAAGTCTAAACCTCGGCACAAAATCAGCAGCTCCACCATTCCAGCAGCCCCAACACGCTTCACCGCCCTCGCCTTGCCGTCGAGAAATCGTTCACGTTTTTCCCCAGCTTTTTCCGAATCTCGACCATCGCTGGGATGTGCCGCAATCAAGACCTGTGGTGCCCAGCAATTTTTTTTTCTTTCTGAACCCACTGGAACAGTGCTAGTTTAAGAGACCCCAAAGTTCATCTCTAAATAGTAGCAAGATATTAATATATGTCAATATAACGACTATGGTCGATATGGTCCAACCTTATGACCCTTATGGCTGTAAACCCGCATGAATTTGATCTTATAGTTAGTCTAAACTGTCTAAACTTCGTTCCACCAGAGCAATTCCCAACACCATGGAAGCAGCATCCGCAGCATCAAAAGCTTCCTTCGTTCAAGCCGCGACACCAAGTTGGCCACGATGCAGTCCCTCTCTGAATCAAAGCCCAAATACCTTTGTGCCAGGTGCAAAAGCTTTGTGAACTTCACCATGGGTCAACAATTTTTGGGAGGAATCATGGAAATTAATCACAGTATTTGTTGTGGTACCCAATTTTGTCGAGAACTTTCTGTCAAAAGTGTATCTATGAATCAACGGTCAAGCTTCCTCATGGCATGATCTACTATGCTCCGCCGGAGCAATTCCAAAACCACCAGATCTCGGCTGTCCCAGATTTGCTTTGAGATTCTCTCAACAAAACGATAGAAATGTCAGGCAATCTGTTTTCTAGAGGCTATTTGACCAGATCATCAGAAATTCTTGTCTTACCACCAAAGTAGTAGAAATTCATTATACCCTCTGGTAAACTAACATAGCTATGGAAAATCACCATTTTCAGTGGGTAAATCCACTATAAATGGCAATTTTCAATGGCTATGTTAAATTACCAGAGGGTAACCTGTGTTTATCAACCATTTTACCTATAAAAAGTGCCACAAATGGAGTCCGTGTCGCAACCCATGTTCAGATGCACAACCGCCTAGCATAAACCGACTATTTGGGATATATAGGATACGCAACTCTTAAGGGGATATACTGATACTGATATTCAAGATCTTGAAAGTGTCTTCAAAATCCACAATTCACTGAATAAATATATATCCCATAGGATCCATGGTGCTGCTATATATATGGTAACATGGATCCCATCAATATACCCCAGTCATGTTAGCATATATACCAGCACCATGGATCCTATGGGTATAATAAAATCCCCATCCTCTGACTTTCCGAAACTTAGGCCTTCCCGGACTCCAAAAAATCGGTCGAAGCCACAGGTAGGCGCAGAAGTTACCCAGGGCCACCACACTGCTCCGGTAGCTCTTGGGATACCTGGGGAAATCGTGGTGAATCTTAGATACCATCTGGTTATGACATCCACAGTTCGCCATGGAAAATCACCATTTTTAATATAGGTACATCTATGTACATCTATAATAAATGGGCCATTTCCCATGGCTATGTTAAATAACCAGAGGATATCTGCCAAATTTTTAGCTGGTGAATGTGCATTTGACCAGTACCAAAGCATCTAACCAAGGTAGACCCAGTCATCAGGAAGCTCTACGGCTAAAGCAATGGAACTGTCCCCAGTGGTAATTAATCTTATCCTAGATATGTGCGGTGACACGTTGGGATTTGTTCATTGCAAGGGTGATATTTACCATGGTCCAATGGTGGTGACTAGACTTGAAGAGATAAAATATATATATATATATGTATATATATATATGTATATCTATATAAATATATATATATGGAGGTTTCCTAAGTCACGGGGGTACCCCTAGTTATCATCCATTTGAATAGGATGTTCCTCTATCAAAACCATCCAGCCATTGGGGATCCATCTTTAAAAGACAAAAATCGCTGGGGGGAAAAAAAAAACGGACGCTTCGAAAAAAAAAACAGGGGTCATTGATTCCCAAAGTTGGGTATCCATAGGGGATATTCAACTATTGGGGATATACTTTGATACCCAACTATTGGGGTGGGGATATATAGGATATCCCTCTATTTAGATACCCAAAAGTATGGTATATATCAACCCATGTATAGGATCATAAACTATTTGATACCCAAAAAACCAGGGAAAAAGCCCATGGAATCCATGTCAACCCCTGAAATCTCGCTCAAATAGCCCTGAAATCCACCTTTCTTCGGGCAAAAAAAAACCAAAGGCCAAGCATCTGATCCGCCCGGTGTAGTGGCAGGGCCACATCGATGCGCCCCAATGGCTCGTCCATGGCGCTTGCTCGAAACCACGGTTGGACAAGTTGGGTGATTTCACCAAGAAAAATTGGGGATGTCCATGGGAAAAAGGGTGAAATATGAGGGATGAGAGCTAGAGGGAAAGCGCAATGGATTTTTTTTCTTGGTGAAATCATACAATATGTCTGGTGATTTCTACCCTCTGTCCATGGGAAAAGTTATATGGATAAAATTGAGAGCTACCCTCTGGTTATGACATTCACAGTTCGCCATGCTATAGATGACCCTAATCGAAATAGATGGTTTACCGTTCTTAAACATCGTAATTTTCCATGGCGAACTGTTAGTCATAACCAAATGCTAAGTTGGTTTAAAGCAGCAAAAGTTGGGTTGAGAAAATAGGTTTTTTTTCTGGTGAGAAAAACCCATAGAAAAAAACATAGGGAAAATGGAGCTTTAACGCAGAAACATGGGGATTTGGGTGCTGATTTATGATGGCGAAGTTGGTTGAGAACTAGAATAACTAGTTTTTTGGGGAGATATCTCGAACTAGTTAGATGGGGTCATCGATTATAGTGTTTGATCACCTTTTCATCAGTTTAATTAATTATCATTGGTTCATACCTAGTATATCAAGTATATCAAGACATCATCAGTTTCTTGATATGGGTATCCCAAAATATCCATGGTTTATGATCGTTTTCCCCATTAAATGTTAATGTTGGGAGTATACACCATTTCAGACACAGACACAAACATATGTATATATAATTATATATATGTATATTATGGAATTGTATCTAGTTTATCAATGGACAAATCCAGGGAAATAGTATGTATATAATCATGTATGTAATTTCGAGGTATTACATGGAAAGTGATCCAAACTATTTGATTTACCCGCCACATGTAATTAAATCCCATATGATACAATGCATATAATGGGAATATAGTGTCTATTGGGAATATAATGGGAAGTGGAATGAATTGAGCCATTATATATATATATATATTGTTGAATCTGACATGATTGAAACATGAAATATGTGTTGCTCCAAAAGAAAATGGATGCAAGTGTTGATATATGATAGATGTAATGAATCAATTACCTCCAGTAAACATACAGAAGGCTATGGAAATCCTTGGTGGTTCCCTTCTAAAGAAATCTACAATGGTAGATTTTCCATACCTATGTAAAAGCTTACTGGAGGGTACATATCGGAAACAGTGTATGAATATAGATTAATATAGTCTATATAGTTGTTCATTTTTTGAGGTTGTCATATGATGATATTTGACACTGGGATGGTAAAACCCACTATTTTGTAGTGGTAATACATGGTCATATAATCATACTATGATATGTCATCAAAATTCTTCATATTAGATTTCAAATTGATCATGTTATGTACGTGAAATAATTGTATAGCTATTAAATATCATGTGTTTCCCAACTTGAATGTGTGGCGAAACGCTCATTCAGAAATGCTGCAAGAGTGTTAGCTGGTTTTCATGGATGTTCTCCTCCCCACGCGTGGTATGTTTTGAACCATCCCCGTTTGTGAATGTGGTTACACCATGTATACTATCAATCTGAAGTTATGAATTAAACATAGTAACATCATTAACCCACATAAGTTATGAATTAAACATAATTAACCCACAAAAAAAAACTACGTTCACAGTTGAATGGAGAAATCATGAGAAATATAGGGTTCTGAAAGGAGCCACACATAATTTGCGTATCATATTCCATGGGTATTCAATCGACTGTGACTGACAGTGCCATGTGACTGTGCTCACTGCCAGTCGCTTTGAGCCCAGAGATTTTCAGGCCATGACCAGCTCGTCACAATGGTGGTAGCGTTTTCGCGGTTTTTTTTATCGTGCAACCCTACTGGGGGTCCCATGTTTACCCCATCTTTTTCGGATAAATTACAAACAATAAGTCACCAACCCATCACTGAATGTTACCAAACTTTTCAGCTTGGAATGTTACCAAACTTTAGTCAATGGACTATTCCAAACAATAACCCATAGGATCCATGTATGGTATATTTACCTACAAAACTGGGCCATTTCTGGGGTTTTTCTGGTGGTAAATATTCCAGCACCATGGTTCGCATATGGGTAATGGTAACATTCCATTCACCTGAAGAGTTTGTCTGGAATGGTTACCCCAATCCTCACCATCATTCTGGTTTCGCGATGGTCGCGATTTTTTCAAACGTGATCAAATTCATCCAGATATCCCAGTATTTCCCATGAAAAATCCACTTATCCGACTTGTCCCACTCCATCTCACTAAAGTCTCATTCAAATTACCAAAGTCACATTAAATCCAATTAAAAGTCCACTTAAACTTCTATCTCATATATTCTATCACAATGTTACATGGCAATTTTATAGGAATGGCTCCAATTCAAATTCTCAAATTCCCAGCCAAAATCGCTCGCCAAAGGGCCGAGTCAGCATGCCACAGCAACAAAGCAACGGCCAAGAGCCGTTTAGCCGCCGCCATGGTGTGCTTCGGAGAAACGGGCAACGGGGAATACTGCAGTTCTTGGTGATCAACCATTGGAGGTTCCTAAAGACTTATGATTTCCGACTTATGGAAATTTCATGAACACACATATATATATATATTATACATTATATAATATATATATATATACGTGTATATAATTATATATAATGTATAATTATATATAATGACCTGAACACGGAGATAAATCGAGATATAACACATCACAAAGCGATGTAGAATTACGTCATCTGATGTACAGTAAACCAATAAACCAAGTGTGTGATGTGATTTACTGATGTGTTTTCAATCTGCACGATGCGCCGTTGGGAAGTGCTCAGTTGGTTGTGTTTTGGGTTTGTCCATTCCTGATGACATCTGATGACCTTTCAACACTGCGGTAAAATTCAGTCTGATACCCTCTAGTAAACTCACATAACTATGGAACATCACAATTTTTAATGGGAAAACTCACTATCAATGGCCATTTTCAATAGCTATGTTAAATTACCAGAGCGTAAGCATGATTCGCCATTTGAATCCATGTGGCACATGTTCAAAGCCAGGCTCAAGCCAACACTGACAGATGGTGGCGACCAGCAATGCAGGGCAGAAACAGTCAACATGTTCGACCTACAAGGTTTTTTTTTCCACCGGCATATGAGAGGGTCTCGTGCCTGTCATGCATGTGGGTTATCAGCCATACACCTACAGATGGTGTTTCATCAGAAAAATCAGAAAATCAACAGCCGAAATCTGGGCAAACGAACTCTACAGTTTCACCTGGCTGCCTGGGTTCCATAAACATCCCATCGCATTGCGAAACAGATGTCCTTAGCCCAGCGGGTGTAGCAGCCGAAGATTCCCGGCCTGACAGGGTCACGACGCTTGGTGGTTCAGCCACCATCCCCGCCAAATATCTCGTCAGTTGAGATACCCTCTGCTTATGTCAAAATAGCTATTGAAAATGGCCATTTAACCATTTAGTTCGTTGATTTATCCATTAAAAATGATCATTTTCCATAGTTTTCTGTATGTTTACCAGAGGGTTAATCCAATGACCTGGAAAATCATAGAAAAACATAGAAAATCCAGCAACTGAGTTGTGATTTAACTGCATTCCAAAAAAAATGATAATCTGCTGACAAAGTGTCGACTTTCAACCCATCAGGAAAATATGACCAAAGAAATCATTCCATTTCTAGGATGCAAAAGTCAATACCCTCTGGTAAACCAATATAGCTATGGAAAATCACAAGTTTAATAGCAAAATCAAGTATCAACTGTCCATTTTGAATAGCTATCGGATTTTTTTTACCGGAAAAATATCACAATATAGATGTATCCAATGATTTTCTTTGGATAAGCAACATCGATCCCAACATATGGCACAATACCCTCTGGTAATTTAACATAGCTATGGAACATGGCCATTGATAATCATTTGTCGTTGATTTACCTATTAAAAAGTGTGATTTTCCAGTTCGCAAACTGGTTAAATTACCAGAGGGTATGAGAATAGTAATAATAACAATATACTATAATATACTATTATGGTATTATGATAATAATGGGATAATCATGGTATCTATATATCAATAAATAGTGATCATATGAATGGCACTTAATATATATATATTACACATGCTTCGATGGGGATCTATCCTTCAAGGCAGCAAGATCCCCCGGATCCACTTAAAGATAACAACTAGTTAACCCCGGGGTGTGAAAATTATTAGGGTCTGTCTTATAAAATCGAAAAGTTTTATTTGTTACATGCCATTTTTGTTGGCAACATGTTGAATAGATTTTAAAATGGAATTTGATCGGTTTTGAAATCATACAGTTTAGTTTTTTAATTAAGGTGTCTAATTTAATATTAGGGAATGCTGCGAAATCTATTTTTTAACAATATTTTAATTTGATGTTTAAAAAGGATTTAAAAGGGAGTTGATCGATTTTGAAGTGGAAAATGTACATAAGCGTTTATTAAATGCTTAAATTCACTATGAGGGGAAAGCATCGAAATCCAGTTTGTGGCGATATCAAAACTATTTTTTTGAAGAGGTATTTGATCGATTTTGAAATCAAAAAAACAAAATCTATTAGGGGAAAGCTTCGAAAGCCAATGTTTGGCAATTTTGAAATTAGAATTCAAACCGGAATTTGCTCGGTTTTGAAAACATGTTTTGAAAATTAAAACTTAATAATAGAGGAACGCTAATCCCCCCCAAATAACAAAAACTGCCCCTAGGTTTTACTATTTGGGGGGGGGACGTTCTAGATAGTTAGGGCCAAGGGATTAAGTGGGGAAATCCAATATGTATATATATATATATAACTGGGGTATCATATGGTATGATCTGGTTATAAATATATATATATACAACTGATGTATAAATGTATATAATATATATATACATGTATAGCCCTACAGTCACTTATAGTCACTTAAAACTGGCTCAAAAAAAACTCATGTAAGTGGTATATATATATATATGTATATGGGTAAATGATAATAATTCACGTTCACCTGAATCTTGCGGCCATAAAAGGGAATGATTTCCCAAAAATTAACCATGATTCCAGTGAGGGAGGACAGTGAGGTCGTTATAATTTACCCAGATATATATATATATATAACTGGGGTATAAAGTGGTATAAGCTGGTTGTATATCCACTAATAAATGTGACATGAAAAATGCCCTTGTCCCATCTCATGAAATACAGTTCGTTGATAGGTTTCCCTACTATGGCTTAGTTCATAATCGCCATTAAACCAGGTAGTATGATCCCCTATGTGAACCCATCAACAGGTGTATGTTTCATGGCTCAAATGGAGGTATCCTAAAATTCTGGTAACTCCAAATCATCAATTTTTTGTGGATTTTCAATGAAATAACCCAGCTTTTGGGGAACCCTCCATGACTTCGGAACCGGAACGAACGCGCTCCCAAGGCCCGAGCTGGTGAATGGTTTGGTTGGCCCCGGTGTCTCGCAACTCTGCTGGGCGATCGGCGGTCAGCAGCAGCAGTGGAACCTGCTTGGAGGATGTCTAACCAAAAAAGGTACGAGAAATGGGGGTGAATACTAGGATATAATATCCATATAGGGATGTATAACATATAATGCCAACAGCACTGTGAGATTTAGGTTTGTCCAAGAAAGAGAGATTACCATCAAACACGTGTTTTTTTTCACGAGTTGACCATCAAACAATATCAAACATACGGCTTTTCAGACGATGGTGTTCCGGGAAAAAAAGGATCCAAAAATGATAGAATTACTCCCTAGTCGCCCATGTTTTTCAGAACATATGGCCATAGTCGCCAATGCATGGGGCACCTTGGGCCCATGGAAACCAACCTCCATGGCATCCCATCAACTTATCGGATTATTCTAATGCCCATCATTTTCATCATAATGATCACCACTAGTATGATTATCACTATTCAGTTTGCCAGTGTAGTTGTTGTTTTTTGTTAATCTCAGGAATATATGTCCTTTTACGTACTTTTACTATCACTAATAATACTCATTAATCACTATTACTAGTGTTACGAACTGCTACAAGTAGTGTGATTGTTATTACTATGTGTTCTGAATTATTATACTATTATCCCATATATTATCACTATTATTGTTATATATATACCATGATTATCCCATTATTATCATAAAACCATGATAGTATATTGTTATTATTACGTTGCGCATATATTTTGGACTATTACTATGCCCATCAAACCATTAAGGGACGCTCCGCACCTGATAGGGATAGTACCCTCTGGTAATTGAACATAGCTATTGAAAATTGCCATTATTTATCCACTAAAATTTCGGATTTTCGATAGCATGTTAAATTACCAGAGGGTAATGATCAGATAGTATTACATTAGTATTCTCATTACTGTCACTAAGTATCAGAGTTATATCTTATAAAATGTGGGTACAACAATTTCATACACCATCCCCCAAATCACATTTTTGATGTGGTATGGTTATCATTGCCATTTTTGGATGGTGTATGGCATTGTTTTACCCACATTACATTAGTTAGATATCCCATTATTATCCCATTATTATACCATGATTATCTTATTATTATCCCCTATAACAATTAATGATAGTTAATGATTGTTAATAATGAATAGTGCTCATTTATATTAGCATCATAAACCCCATTAGCTAGTTCGTTATTTCTACCATAAACAAGAGAAATCAGTCACTTATAGGGCAACTTATCTATCTTGGGGGCCCCATCCTGCAAAAACTCATTGGAATGCGTATTGATACCACATTATTAGTCATTACATCCCACATTATTGTAAGTTAGTTTATAACCCTATGTATCTACCATAAAAATCCATAAAACATATATAGTCCATGCATTATAGTCCATTATATGGGTATGGATCAATACCTATTAATACCATTTTTAGGGGAATGAACATCCATTTACCAGCTATTTTGATGTTCACCAGGGGTACAAGGTTTTGACACACTGCCATATCCCTTCCCCGGCTCCGTGCTACCTGTGCCTGTGCAGCCTCAACGGCTGCCGGCAAAAGATTTGCGACTGCTGTGCCAGACCTCAGTGACAAGGCCCTGATTCAGCCTAGCGAAATGGAGCAATGGGAAAATCATGGAAAAATATGGGAAAATATGGCAGTGTGTCAAAACCTTGTACCCCTGGTGAACATCAAAATAGCTGGTAAATGGATGTTCATCCCCCTAAAAATGGTATTAATAGGTATTGATCCATACCCATATGGAAAAATATAAGAAAATATGGGAAAAACCATGAAAATAACAGGAAAATCATCGATTGCTTAGGAAAATCACAGGAAAATATGAGAACAAATATGCAAAACCGTTGTAATTGGAGGTGTGCTGGGAAAATCATGGAACTAAGGTCAGGTGACTTTCCAGCAAGCCATGGTCCATCGCCCTGTCGTATTCCAACATCCCAGTCATCTTTGGAGGCATGATCCGCTGGCCAAGCATTGATTCTTCAAGACACATGCCCATTCATTCGCTACAGTTTCAGACCTATATCAGCCTATATCCCCATGATTCTTGTGTTCAACTGCAAGAAGAAGAATCCGTTGTGCTGCAGGAAAGCCAAAGACGTCAAGCAGTCCCAGGACTGCTCAGCTCGTGCTGAAGTCTATTATTTTGTGTTCAACTGCATCCCAACTTGAGTTTGATATCCGATTTCACCACTCGTTTCCCTGTTAAAGACCTGTATGGCTTCACTTCCTATCTTAAGACAAGGGACCAACAAAACAGTAACGTCAAGTTTTTCTGGTTAAATCCTCATGAATACTTCCATTCATCTAAATTCTGAAAATCACCATGTTTGGTTCAAGCCCCTAACTCCATCTACTGTAAATCCCTCACATTTCCCAAGTCCTGTCAAAACGAAATCCCAAAACACACCCCAACAAAACGCCGCCGCGCGTTCGCCGTGAACGGGGGCCCCCAACGTCACGATCACTGCCTGCGAAAAAAAAAAAAAAAACACTTTGGAGTTCACCAGGATATTAGGCTGTCAAATTTGGACATGTCATATAGCTATTAATCATATTTATCATATATGTCAAATATAATATATATATATATATGGTGAATATAGAATATATCAATATCATTCAATATCATCATACATTTAATATTTATCCAGCTATCATAATATATAAATGAAATGACCATATATATATATATCCAGGATGTTTCTATATTCATCATTTTTCATCATACATGTGATATTTCAATATAGAAACATATATCTAACCAAACAGGCTGTATTGATATATTCATATATTCAGTTGACAATAGAAACATCAGAGGATATCGAATATATGTTCCTAAGTATTAACATCAATAGATATTTTCATATATTCAGTTGAATTAAGTAATTTTCAATGTATGAATATAAGCTAAGTTGATGAATATTCATTGCCTCAGCTTAAATCTAACAATGAAGCCGTGGGAAGTTGGGACTTTGGAAACGGTGGAAACCTTTGTGGTCTCCCGGGTCCTCCACGTTTTTCGCAGCTGGGCTTGTGGATAGGGGGAGATGTGGAATCTCTGGCATCATCACTGGTTGATGGTTTGGGCCCTAGCCCTCTGAAAAATCATGGAGTGAGTGAGTGAAAGTCAGTTGGGATGATGACATTCCATTCCCATATTCCCAATTTATGATGGGAAAAATCAAATCAATGTTTGAAACCGCCAACCAGATCAAGACTGCTTGTGCAACAACCAGTATACACTGCGACTTCGCGACTTGGAGAGTAACGGGGCAAGAGTCGTTGAACTACTCCGCAGGCATGTTGTGGCTCTTCAGCCGAATCTCCCATGGTCTCAAAACAACTTCCTTGTGGTCTCCAAGCCTTGTATGCCATGTGCGTTGTGAACATCCGGTTTTTGTTCTTGAAAATCCTAAGTTGTTTGCTCACAATCATTCCGTTCTTTGTTGCGCATCTGCTACTTTTCGGCAAGGGTCGTCATGTATGATTGGCAAATGTCAACATCCACATGTGTCAATTTATGTTCCGATTTGGTTGGGGCTATCTCCGTTTTACTTCTCAAAGTGTTCAAAATCCCCATGTTTCTTGCTGGAATAAGCCATGGTCTTCCTCTAGCAATTTTCCAATCAATCCATTGTCTTATCGAGGTAGCCGTGAATTGCTATACCCATATGTTCCATGGTGCTGGAATAAAAAAACAACATTTGCCCGAACAAAATCACCCAGTTTTGTAGGCTTTTATATACCAGCACCATGGTTCGCATATGGGCATTATTAACCAATACCTATCATCACCATTTCTGTGGCCTTTCTTTAAAGATGTTTGAAACCACCCATCAGTCCAAGTTGTAAATTAGCCATAAATTGACCGTGACTCCTGTTGCCCTCTTGCTATTGAAAATGGCCCAGTCGAAATAGTTGATCTTCCCAGCTATCAAATGGTGGATCTTTCCAGTTTGTTTTCTCTATGTTTACCAGAGGGTAAATCCCATATTAAATCCCATTAAACCACCATAAAAAGTCTTTAAACCACCATTTTCCTGTGGTTTTCCTATGGTTTTCATAACAAACCACCGCTGAGGCATCGGCCACGACTTCGTTGATCCCTTTGGCCCAACCAAGGGCATAGAAACCACCCGAGCGCTCGTCGTGATTCACCACATGCCTCGGAGAAGGCCATGGCCATGGCATCTGGCAGTAACATCCATAGTTGGGATATGGTAAACCATAGGAAAACCATAGGAAAACCATAGGAAAATGGTGGATTAAAGACTTTTTATGGTGGTTTAATGGGATGGAATGTGATTTACCCTCTGGTAAACATACAGAAAACGAACTCAAAAGATTCACCATGTTTAATGGGTAAATCAACTATTTTGACTGGGCCATTTTCAACAGCTATGTTAAATTACCGGAGGGTATATGTCCACCTAATTCACTGGTTATAATGTGGATGTACATAGTGGCAAAAATTGTCAATGGTGATAGAGTGGGGAGATTCCAAGGTATTTGGGGTGCCCCTCATACCTTTATTTCAATGTCAATTATCCCCACAAGCTGAAAAAATGTGGTGCCCCTCAGTTATGTGAATGTTGGTTTATAAACCCCATGAAAACTATAGTTATATCTACCATAAACCATAGTTATTGGAGTTATGTTCACCAACTTAGCGATTCCGAACTGGGGCACCACCTTGTGGGATACCCTATTTTTCTATGGTGAAATATCTCCAGACAAAGTAAAATCGGCTGAAGTCGAGACATTCCTGAAATGCTACAGGAAACTAACCTCCTTTCTCTTGGCGGTGTTTCCATGTCACCACCATTTTTTCTCCATTCTCCTCAACAGAGATGAACACTCCCATCTTGATCAGCCTTTCTTCCTCCTCAGCTTCTGCCTTCAGATCGATTTCTGATAGATCCTTTTCAAGCATCTCTGGTGGTTTGTCATCCTCATCATTCACCAAATCATCGCATTTGCAGAAGAGTTCATCTTCCTCTACCATCTCAACGTCTTCATCTCCATCAGGAAACTCCACAGAGACTCTCCTCAGCTTCTTGGAGCTACTCTCAGCCTCATGTGTTTTATCTTCAGCTCCTATCTCGTATTGTGGGTTTCCTGGTGGAAATGAATGGCCAACCTCATCATGAACCATGAACCATTCTCTGCTCTTGTTGCTTATAGTGACTTGTTCTTCTGTCTGCATCTGCTCTGATGTTGGCTGTGGGATCTGGCGAGTGGCTGGATGCCTGGTGTGGATGGTGCTGGAATGCCTTCTGCAGCTCTCTGGTAAACTAACATAGCTATTGAAAATGGCCATTTATAGTGGATTTTCCCCTTAAAAATTGTGATTTTCCATAGCTATGTTAAATTACCAGAGGGTAGCTCCTGAAATTACCCAATTGTACGCTCTGATATCTACATATATCTACCAATTCCAAAGATCATCACACATGACGAGGTGGACACATGATGATCATTTCCCCATCTTGGCCCCATCTTGATTCAATTTGGGTACCCTCCGGTAAACTTTCACATAACTATGGAAAATCACCATGTTTCATGGGAAAACTCACTATTTCGACTGGGCCATTTTCAATAGCTTTTTGTATGTTTACCGGGCCGGGTCATGTTTTTGACACGGAGGTCACGGAGGTCACGGAGGTCACATGTTCATTACATGTTCATTTATTTACCCTCTGGTTATGTCAACAGTTTGCGAACTTGAAAATGGCCCAGTCGAAAGTTCGTTGATTTACCCAGCTATAAAATGGTGGATCTTTCCATAGTTATGTGAAAGTTTACCAGAGGGTAGAGTCAATTCCAATATTCTTCAGCTCTCCAAAACCCATTTCTGGACTGGAGTTTTCCATAAAAGTTGCGATCACCAATATTTAGCTGGCCAGATGCTAAAGAACAATCAATCCAAAAAAAACGAAAAAAACATGAATAATCATCCACATAAGTTTCGACCATTTTCGACTAATGTGGGTAAAACAATAATAAACCACCCATTTGGGAATGGTTTATACCACCTATTTATGGTGATTTGGGGGATGGTTTATTATTGTTTTACCCACATTATCCTGGTTGGTGGTATACCTACCCCTCTGAAAAATCATGGAGTTCGTCAGTTGGGATGATTTTTCCCAGCTGAATGGAAAGTCATAAAATTCATGTTCCAAACTACCAACCAGTATCGAAAGCCATGGTTTTGGGTACCCCCCCCTCCAAAACGTCGCTGAGATCAGGACCTGGTCTGCTGATGTCGCGCCACGGCCACCACCAAGGGAGTCGAACGCGATCCTGGACCTCAGCGGTGAGTTGTGTCCCGTGTTCTTTTAAAGGGAACATATATGTTACGTGTTTTTACTATCTTTTACTATGGTTTCAGAAGGGAAGATCTAGAGTTGATCATAGGACCATGTGAGCTGACATCTGATATGCTGAAGAAACAAGCACTAGAACGAGTGAACTTTTTCATATGTGTTCCATCTTTTTCCGGTGATTCTTCATATCCTGAGGCATTTGGAATCGAGGAGTTTCAAGGTCAGGTCCTCATGCTCCAACTCTCCAGGCGACCCCCAACTGTTCGCGTGGATGAGTTGGGCCAAATCAGAGTTGCTGGCCTGCCCAGATACGTTTATATGACTGAAATATGACCTATGTAACTATGTATCATTCACCCATGGATTGAAATATGTTGAAATCTTCCCTGCGGGCCCCATCTTTCAGGTACAAACCAAGAAGATTCCATCGGCGCCCCGGCATATCACGAAGTTGCACACGTTCAGGCGAACCAATTCTTCCACCTCGAAGCCGCATTGAAAAAACGCGAAACTCGTCGCACATCTAGCAATTCGGATCCTGTGCTGTCTACCTGAAAGGTAGGGTACGACCTTTTGAAAAAGCTGCAAACAAGTTCCGAAACCAAAGAAACCCAGCAAATTGGACACAGACGGATTGGGGATTTGGGATTTCTTGCGTCAAATTCACCGGTCGCACCCCATTGTCACCCCGCCGTAGTTCAGGTGCCCGGACAATGACTGTCGCCCACAAGGTGTTCAAATTCCTTGGAGCAGCGAAACACTTCCCACCTTTTTGGTGTTCACTTCCTCGTCCTTATCTTCAACATGTTCATCGTAAACATCATCATTACCAGCAGCAGCAGCAGCAGCGGCAGCAGCAGCAACATCATCATCATCATCATCATCATCATCATCACAGATATATTATTCGTAAATATATACATTTATAATATATATATACATATAACCAAACTCACCAGCAAAAGTGCAACAACATGCAACAACCACCAATCAAAAGTTGATTATAGCCAATCAAGCCTTAGACGTTACCCTCTGGTCTATGAACATAGCTATGGAAAATGGCCCCATTTATATGGCTTATGATGATTTACCTGTTAACAATGATGGTTTTATATAGCTACGTTGACTAGCCAGATGGTATATGGATTTACCACCTAAAGGATCATCCCACTTATATAGCAACCCTGGTGATCGCAAGTCCCCAATTCGTAGGAGTTATCCCAAACAGAAAAATGAGGGTGAACGGTTGCTATGGTTGCTGAATAACCAGATGGTAGAATCCCAGCCAAAAAACCATTGAATGCATATTCCACCAAAATTCCACCAAAAATATCCAGTGAAAAATCACCATGTTTAATGGTTTTTTAACCCCAGAAAAACTCACCATTTTTCTTGATTCATTCCCATGAAATCACCATGTTTGATGGTCCATCACCATCGAGTTGCGGAAGCTGCATGAGTTTTGGAACGCTGCACGGCTCCGCATTCGCAAAGGCCTCAAAGGCCAGGCACAAAGTGGGACCGGGCACAGGTTGAAGCTTCCAAAAATGGTAAATAGACTTGGGGAATTATGGGTAAATATACATATATATATATTATATATACAGTATATATAATATGTCCTACATATATAATATGTCCTACATATATAATATGTCCTACATATATAATATGTCCTACATATATAATATGTCCTACATATATAATATGTCCTACATATATAATATGTCCTACATATATAATATGTCCTACATATATAATATGTCCTATACATATACATATATGTATAAATCATATAATACCATACTTGTAGGACATATTATGGGACATACAACAATGTCCTTTTGGTAAAAATAGAGGGGCCGGTTTGGTATACCATCTATCATCATTTACCTGTTGTTAAAGGGGGTTGTTCAAACCCCTCTTTTTTCATCAACCAACCAATGGGAAAAGGACATCCGTGGGGACATATATCTTAGTAATTTATAACATGTCATGTTCACCTGAACCGTGCGGCCATAAAAGGGGATGATTCCTCTTACTTACTAACCATGATTCCAGTGAGGGAGGACAGTGAGGTCGTTATATTATAATTTACCCAGCTATATATATGTATATATAACATATATATATATCATATATATATATATATATATCATGCGGGACACTATGCCGATGTTTGCATATTTGCATAATTGTTTGTTTACGCTTGTTTACGCATATACATATAGAGAGAGGTAAATATCTGCATGTATATCATGTATTATATATATACGTATCTTTATTCGTATGCACACAATCGATATCTACACATGGCTTTGTCTGCCAATCCCATAGTTATATTCTGATTCTAGTCCATAAATTGTCTAATATAAGATATAATTATAATTCTAATATATAACTGGTTGGTGGTGTCAACCCCTCTGAAAAATATGAGTTCGTCAGTTGGTATGATTATTCCCAATATATGGAAAGTCATAAAAAATCATGTTCCAAACCACCAACCAGATAATCATCATTTTCCCACATGTTCCCTTTGAAACTCGCCTGGCTTTTTATGTGAAAAAAAACACAAAAATCTCGGTTTTCACCACCTCGGTGAATTGCCGCATCTTTAAGCCTCGGTGGGCTCGCCAGAGATATGATGATCAAGCAGCAAGTTTCGTAGCTCTTCGATACCCTGCAAAAACGACAAAAAAACACAACTGAGCTGTTTTGGTGACCATATTCAAAAAAGTAAAAGACTATATAGTTCAAAATAGCTATGGTCAGTTCTGGTCAATATTCAAATTTATGGTCAGTTATGGTCATATTCAAATTTATGGTCAGTTATGGTCATATTCAAATTTATGGTCAGTTATGGTCATATTCAAATTTATGGTCACTTATGGTCATATTCAAATTTATGGTCAGTTATGGTCATATTCAAATTTATGGTTAGTTATGGTCATATTCAAATTTATGGTCAGTTATGGTCATATTCAAATTTATGGTCAGTTATGGTCATATTAAAATTTATGGTCAGTAATGGTCATATTCAAATTTATGGTCAATCATGGTCATATTCAAATTTATGGTCAGTTGTGGTCATATTCAAATTTATGGTCAGTTATTGTCATATTCAAATTTATGGTCAGTTATGGTCATATTCAAATTTATGGTCACTTATGGTCATATTCAAATTTATGGTCAGTTATGGTCATATTCAAATTTATGGTCAGTTATGGTCATATTAAAATTTATGGTCAGTTATGGTCATATTCAAATTTATGGTCAGTTATGGTCATATTCAAATTTATGGTCAGTTATGGTCATATTCAAATTTATGGTCAGTTAAAGTTATGGTCATATTACGGTCATATTCCAATTTAAATATTTACCTATTAAAATCGTGACTATCTATTTTAAATAGTCCGACGTTTATCATATGGGACAACCAGAAAAATCACCCAGGGCATCACAGATATCCACACTCCACACATTTACTGAAACGTTCTTACGCAAAAAACAACAACATGGGGTGAAAATAACACCCCAATGTGAATTTTCTGATGTGTTGCATGTGTTATTTGTTATGTTATATATTTCTTATTGTGACGTTTTTTTCAACCAGAAGTGGTGGTAAACCAGCAAACATGCGGGGGTACATGATTAGTTACCCTCTGGCAATCCAAGATGTCTGGCTGGCAAACTGAAAGGGTTTACATCTACAAACGATTGTCTCAATAGAAGGGAAATCATGGCTAGTGTGGATACCTTGAGACCTGTAGGTTTCACTTCCGTTCTAGCTTTCACCGCAGCGCAATATCGTGGGTTTGCACTCCTCCAGTATGGACAAAGAAAACAAAGGTATACTCAGAGATTAGGATCAAACACTACGTACGATTCACGGAAATGTCAATCAAAAAGAGCAGAAAAAACGCACATGTACTTGATAGCTCATCCCACTTAGTAAGTGGGCTAGTTAACCTCAGTTATAAGTGGATTAACCCAACATTTGTCCCATGTAAATCACGTTACAACCCACCTAAACAAGCCCTGGTGATGTCGCACCAAGATATCACTGATATCACTGAAGTCACGTGCAAAAAATCCGTTCAGAACGGGATCAAATGATGGAATGATGGATGGAATGATGGATCATTATGGGCACACTTTTTCGCGCTGATTCCTTCCCGCTATACAATATGAAATTCATCGCCCTCACACGATGAGTCACACTGGGAGCATTTCATATGAAAGGGCGGCGCCAAGGGCGAAAATGACGAAACCATGTAGTTGTATATCTGGAGCCCAACTCATTGTTGCAACAACTTGGAATATAGCCCATTCAAATCATATATATATAGAATATCCATTTGAACATATTTGAACGATGAATTTGTAAGCCACTAACTACGCATCAGCCACATCATTCCAGATTAAACATGCGTATCTTAAACATTAACTACGCTTAACTATTACTCGTACACCAACATTTAAACAATAATCACTGAAATTACAAGGATAAATACCTCACTTGTATCCATTGATATGTGTCAATTATAACAATTATCCATTATTTAAAAAAATGAAACAGATCTTGATAACTGATCAATAATATTGTGGATTGAGAATCTCAAAACAAATGAACCATTGTTGATAATGACATCTGAAAAATAATCCTCAAGAATATGATCTTTAAAATCAATTATCAAGATATGGTTCAACTATTTAAGGCCTTTCATGGATAATGCCTTATAGTGTTGTTATCCATTGTCAATAATTTGTGGGTTGATGATGATCTTAAAATACAGTAACAATGATGGCTCAAATAATCAAGATAATGGTAATATGATCTTATATTTGGAATTAGGGAAATAGTCCGCAATAGTGATCAATTATTATCAATTATATATTTTTGCAGAGATCTGATGTGGAAATAATCCACAAGAATGTGATCTTGAAAATCAAAAAACAAGATTTGGTTCAACTGTTTAAGGCCTTTAATAAGGGTCTTACATAATCGTTATTAATAAATTGAACATATTGATAATAAAATAATTTGAACCATATCTTGATAATAAAATAAGTAAAAATGATCTTATATTTGAAATTATTTGGATATTTGGATAATGGTACATATTCCACCATAACTGATTGGTGGTTTCAACCCCTCTGAAAAATATGAAAGTCAGTTGGGATGATTATTCCCGATTCATGTTCCAAACCACCAACCAGACAATGTCACCAACAGACTCATGTTCCAAACCACCAACCAGATAAACAATCTCCAATTTTACCATGGCTTGTATACCAAAAACCATCTCCCAACTGGATAATGGGACATATTCCACAATAGTTAGATCTTACCACCAATCAGTTAAATATCCATTTCTCTATGAATTCCCTATGGTTTCCTATGGGATATATGAATGTTCCAAATAACTGGTTGGTGGTATAGCTACCCCTCAATTAATCACTATTAACTATGATTAACCATCATTAACCATCATTAACCACCAAAGCACCAAGCAGTATAGTTACCCTTTGGCAAATTAATATAGACCCTGAAAATCACATTTTTTTAGTGGTTTCACTAATCTTCCAACCCCGACAACTGGCAGGGTCTATGTTAATTTACTGGAGAGTAGATCCCATTAAATTCCATTAAGCCACCATAAACCCTCATTAAATCACCATTTTCCTATGGTTTTTCCTATAGTGGAGTAGATTAGATCTTACATAATCCCACCACCAAGGAGCTAATCTCTTCGAATTCCTCCGAGGGATCGGATCCTTCCACCACGCCAGCGCCAGCATAGACCTGGAAATCTTCTGACGACTGAGTGATCTTTTTGCCCACCAAAACATAGGGAAAATATGCGAAAACATGGGGAAAAATGGGAAAATATCGAGGTTTTACAAAGAACCATGAGGATTTGTTGGTTGCTGATTTATGCTGGCTATGTTGGTGAACAGTTCACCATAAAGTAAGGGTTGAGTTGACTGGGGGGATATCAAACTAGTAGGGATTATAAACCAACTTAGAGCGTAAACGGGGCCATTATGTAGAGCTGCTGGTTATTTTCCGGTGTCATCAAATATGGCTGGAAAATCCCCAAACTGGAGCTGTTCATGGGAAAATTACTGGAGGCTAATCCTAAGACCCCCATGCCATGGTCGTGCCATGGTCAAAAAAAACCATGGTTTTTTGTGGTTTATGGTCATCCATTCCATGCCATGGGAATCGTTATAAGTACCTGTTTAAAAAAATGCTATACCATTTATATTGTGGATTTATATACCCTATATGTTAAAAAAAAAATGTATATACATCCCTATCCATGTTTATGGCTTCTGATTGATGACCATCTCCCAATGCTAGAGCCATCAGACTTTTGACCATGGAACATTGCCAAATACCCGCCCAAATGGGATACTTCCCTGGATGTGGGGGGGTCCCCCCCAATGGAATAGTTCCAATACATCCCACCATGTTTTCGCAAGAGATTCACTGCTGGTTTAGAAGCTGGCAAGTATGGAGAAATGTTACATGGTCAATGTTTTTCATTGTCGACAAATAATAATAATAATATATATATATATATGATATATCCATATCCATGATCAATCTTTGATAGTCCACAGAAGAAAAGACTCGTTTGCTGGTGATGGTTTTTTTTTCCATAGCAAACGTTACTCGTTTGGATGAGTTGAACTAGCCATCCAGTTGGTTGGTGATTTTCACCATGAATAACCAACCAGGTTTTTCGGGGTGACAGTCGCATCAAAAAGCCCTGCTGATCACATGCGATGTCCAAGTCATAAATAGTTGAAAGCACAAAAATGATGTTTCCATTGCTTCTATCATGTTCTATGATGTTCTGTCATGTTCTATCATACTGAGTCACTGGTCCCATGATCAACGTCTCCTGCCCACCACAGCTAAGGCTGTCCACGTGCAACTTTCGACCCTCCGTGAGCAGGGCAGAGCCTGAGTTCTCGATCTGCGTTTGGCTACGTCAGAACAGTCACGGTAGCACTGACAAGATTAATTTATAGTAATATATATATATTATGTGTGTTGATCAACAATGGAACATGGAAAATGGTTTAACAACAATGATTGCTGACATTGTTGTAATCACAGAATTGATGAAAATCAGAATTTGCGATTGTTCAGAACGTGATGGAGATATAGAGATTAATGACAACTCTGAAAAGAGTTACAGGAATTGTAAGAACGATAATGATAACAGTAAAAAGAATAGCAACACAATCATGTTTGATGAAAGGTACTGGACAAAATGTAAAGCAAGACCGTAGCCAGCAAGACTAGATGTAGATGGAATATCTAATACACATACAGAAATAATTAATATATACAGACAAACATATATATATATATATATGAATGATTATATATATATATTATATATATATGATTATGTATATATATATGTGTGTGTGTGTCTATCCGTCTGTGAGCTAGCACTGGTTTGACACCTTCCCGGTCTTTAAACATGTCTTTTCAGGATGAACCACTTCGAATCTTTGACGCGTCAGCGGATCATGGGCCAGGCCGGCTGTTCCAGCCGGCGTTTCGTGGGGAAAGCTCTGCAACGAACAGTTGAATCCCAGGAATAGCCTCTTCAAGCAATCCCATATACATTATAATTATGGGAATTTTAATAATGTTTAATGGGAATATAAATGGGAATATATTTTGTAGATAATATACCCATATACTCCATGGTGCTGTTATATTTACCTATAAAACTGGGTGATTTTGGGCGGCAAATGTTGGTTTTTATATTCCAGCACCATGTTGAGCTAATATGGGAATACTGGTAGGCCGCGGCCACCCCTTGGGGGGTCGTTTACATCATCACAGTAAGCGGATACCCGAAGCTGCTTTACCTCAATTGGGAATGGTTTTGAATGAAAATCATTCCAGAAGTTTCCATCAAATGTACCAGAAAATCCTATTTGCTGTGTCCTTTTTTAGTAATATCTGGAAGTTTATGTTCATAACCTCCGGTGTCATCAAACATGGCAAGCTGGAAAATGTCCTATTTTTATGGAGCTTGTGATGGGAAATCACCATATAAATTAGGTGGATTTTCCAGCAAACCAGGTTTGATTACTGGATGCTACTTCCAATATTCATATTATATCATATTATCATGATGAATCTTTGATAGTCCACAAAAACATCATCGTTTGCTGTCCTCCAGTTATAGCAAACAATTCAAAGGATTAAACTACCTAGCCAGTTGGTAGATGGTTTTCTTATTATTCCATTATAGTCCCAGTGTTTCATACTTAGCTAAGAGTTCCCAACTGGTGCAGGATTTCGCAACCATCCAGTGTATTATCCCATAATTCAACTTCTCCACCTTTGAATCATCCCTGCTCCTTTCAGAATGTCCTCCACTAGCCAGCCTATTCAGCTCTTGGACGCACTGCGCAGCTGCGCGTGCGAAAACACCCAGGTGCAACTGGTTTCATGAGGGATTTCATGGATGTGTTTCTCAACCGAACAGGGATTTTTATGGATTTAATTGGCTTTAAAAGCCGACCAAACTGTTGATTCAGGGACCAATAGTGATGCCCAGACATGTCCAGATTCTGCGGTGAGTTTTCAGAACCTTTCAAGAATCCATTTCATGGATGTCAAAGACGTAATTTAAATTCTTAATGCATGCAAATCCGGGTGACGGATCTCTTTTTGATCTCATTTGTCTTGCTGAAAAAATCTCCAGTTTGAACGTTGCTACTTCTCTTCTCATTTCAGTGGGTCTATTCCCAGCAAAACCAGTCGCCTGGGCAATTTGAGGCCCGGAGCGACTTTTATCGCCCCACGGCCCATCCGCACTGGCAACATCCCGACCGAGCTGAAGAGAATACAACAGATAAAACTGTTTGAGTAAAGTAACAGGTGTACGATATACTCACATATAAATTGCCATATATATATGTATATGTATTTTATATATATATATATGTATTATATATATATTATATGTATTATATTATATATATATTATATTATATATATACCTTGGTATATATTACACCTATTGTTTGGTATATGTTTTATGTGTACCTTCGACTTCAGGTCTGGTCCCATTCGCAGGAGTCCAGGTGACGTTTCCTGCAAGGTGAGGCTAGCGTCGGAACGTCGTTGAACTGACAATCACGGAAGGCGTAACGATTGGATTTATGATGTAGCCAAGTTATATCATTGTTTATATAATATATATATATATATATATATGAATTATATATATATATATACATATATATATATGTATACATATATATGTATATTATATTATATATTCTATAATTATGGTCGACTGTAGTTTTTTTGGACCTATAAACCAACTTATACCTAGACGGGTCCACCTTTTTTGAGGCGGAACTGGATGAGCTGTCTGTTTGGGGGGGTTCCCAGTGGAGGGAATAGGTGGCAGCTTAGAAGCAGATAGTCTAAATTAATGGAATTTATATTATTACTATGATTATAGTGTTACCATTATTATGTTATTTTATTATATTATTACTCTATAGTGATGGTATACAAATTGGTATTCTGGGCACTGCTCTAGTCTTTTTTCCAATGCTCAAGTGTGTTTGTGACAGTGTAACTGTATCTTTCCTCTCATGTCAAACCCTTCTCAGCTCGTGCGATGGTTTCAATCCCAAACTTTGTCAGTTTACCCCATTGGAGCAACCCTGAGATGCAGTGGCTTTCAACAAATGTCCGATGTTGGAACACAGCACGCTAATCTAATAATAGAATATCATATAGTAATAAAATATACTATAATATAATAAAATACAATAATAATTGAGAATTTGACACCGACACCCTGTTGGTTCCGGCCTCATCGTGCGAAGCCGGGGCGAGGCGCACAGCTATAGCCTCGACTGTCGTGGACATCACCACTAGTGAGATGCACTGGGTATATCGTGGCGTATCATATTATGTTCAATTGCATTATGTTATATAATGTTATACTGCAGTATATTGTATATGTGTACAGTTGTATGATATCATATAAAGTCGTATTATATGGACTAAATAGATATATGTATGTTTGAATGGAACAACAATGTATTATGTGGATCAATATTGTATCACCTGCAATATGTTTTTGACATATAGACTAGTCTGGTATTATATGGAAGAATATTTCTTATATGGGCTCATGTTCTGTTATACATGTTCTTGAATAATAGAATATAGATTTATAATGTATTAAGTTGTTTTCTATTATTATATCATATTGTGTATTATTATATTACTGTATATAATTTTAGTTTATGGTATGTTATATTATATAATATCATATTATATTATAGGATGTTGCATTGTATTCGATTGTATCATTAATGTATCTTTAATAGTACATCATTAAGTTACAAGATATATCATGCCGTACTACATATTAAAAGCTATATATATACATATATATCATATATCATATTGTGTTTTTTTGATCACATGACACAGATTTATATTGCTTTATGTATCATATAGTACTTTGTACAGTATTATATACATAAGTTTGCATTCAAAAAACCAGATCATTTTTTCTATTGCTATTCTGAGTTATGTAATGTTGTACTATATCCTTAGAGAAATATTATACATATATATGTATATACATATATTACATTAAACTAGATATTTTTTGCATACAATATTCATAGTGTCTATATTTATCATCTCAATTATACACTGTTTCATAGTGTATCTTATCAAAGTATATACTATATACATTCAATTCGAATTTATTGTAGTGCATCCCGTTACATGATATAATTTCATGTTATTGGTTTGTCTTTATTATTGATTGTATCACCAAAACTCACTGATGGGGGTTGAGCCATCTACCAAAGTGTTTTCTCGTTTCAGACCATGAATTTCAGGTTAGGAGTAGATGGCGCAACTCAAAAATCGGTGCCATCTATTTTCAGGTTGGAGCAAAAGATACTCTACTAGTCATATTACATGTTATGGCATAGTGTGATATAGTATGTTAATATCTTATATGATTATATGAAATACTATTCTGTCATAGTATATAATATATCATGATTGTGCATGCACAGACAAAGATTTGTTTCATCAGCACATTTCCATTTCTGCCAGTTTCCAGTTCAAACTGATGACTTTCTTTTCTGGAAATCCTGGGAAAAAAAAAACTAGCGACCTCCTGTCTAAGTTAGACCTCCGTCGACCTCTTTTTTCCTAAAACAACACTCCCTCTGGTAAACTAACAGTTTGCAAACTTGAAAATGGCCCAGTCGAAATAGTGGATTTTCATGGATTTTCCCATTGAAAATGGTGATTGTCCATAGTTATGTGAAAGTTTACCAGAGGTAAATCACATTAAATCCCATTAAACCACCATAAAAACTCACTAAACCACTATGGTTTTCCTATGGTTTTCCTATTAAACCACCATTTAAAAAAACTCACTCAACCACCATTTTCTTATGGTTTTCCCATTGAAAATGGTGATGTTCCATAGGGTTTTCTGTATCTTTGAGGCTCATTCGGTAACCACCAACGTTACTGGGATCTCGACGATCGAAGCTGTGCGACACGCCGGCCGCGTGCCGTGCCCAGGGCTGGTAGCTCCTGGCTCGATGGGCACAGAGTTCACCAAGCAGTTTCCATGGGAAAAGTGGTAAACCATACAGAAAACCTACGGAGAATCACCATGTTCAATGGGAAAATCCACTATTTCGATTGGGCCATTTTTGATGGTTGAATAGGAAAACCCTAGGAAAACCATAAGAAAATGGTGGTTTCGTGAGTTTTTATGGTGGTTTAGTGGGATTTAATGGGATTTACCCTCTGGTAAACTTTCACATAACTAACTGGAAAATCCATCATTGTAATCTTACTGGTGCTAAACGCAGGGAATTTTCGGGAATGATCCATAATCACTAGCAATAATCATCCCAGCAACCCCC